ATTCTGAAGATTATATAGACTCGTAGGGACCTGGAAGTCTGAAGATTATATATACCCATAGAGACATAGAAGTCTGAAGATTATATAGACGCATAGGGCCTAGAAGTAAGAGACGATGTTTTTTTATATTTGGCTGCTTCAAGGCCGCCTGTCCTGACCAAGTAAATGTGTGACGTTTTGTGATATAAGCAAATCCTTCGATAGGGTCTGGCATTGTCGTCTTATTTTGACGTAGTCTAGTTCTGACATTGATATAGAAATCGACGATGGTACACATTACAAAACTTATAATACCCATTGAGATGCTTTAAACATGTAAACACCAGCTAGCGTGATATTTCAATTAGCGTGCCCATGCAAGGATCTGTATGTTATGGCATTTCATGTTTCTCATTTTGATAAGTGACGTTGATGAAAATTTTCAAGTTATATATTTAATTTTCGCTGACAAGACGTCCCTGTCTGCTGGATTTGTATGCACCAAAAGTTATCACAGATTTGTCAGCAATAAAAATATTGATAAAATACAGGTCATAAAATACCTAGGCGGTCTAAAATGTGAATGGTAGACTTCAATCCCATTAAAACTCAAATTCAAACAGGAAAATAAAAGGTTAGCTGTTTCACAGCGTGATCAAAATTGTATTTCGGCAGATACTTGTATCTCCCCCAACGTCTCAAAAAAATCGAATTGCGGGGAATGTTTTCACGTCGTTTAGCACGTCTCAAACGTTAAAGAGATTTTAGCAGCGCTTTTCCCAAACACTTATTTGTTCATTTAAACAATATGTTTATAATCCAATGATGTTTCTATAGGATGTGAAGTATCTCACCGGTTCGATTTTCACTTTAATCCATTCAATAGTAGCCAGTAAAAGAATCAATGGAATACAAATGTAAATGATCCACACTTTTTTTTGTATTAGATGATGTTTGAACGAATCTACCAACAAGTCTAGACAACCCCTTTCGCTTAAATCAGTATATAATTCGAATTACGACGGTTTAAACTGTAACTTAAGGGATATAAAACGTTAAATAAGTAATAAATTTTAGTATTGGATTATAAAGCAAATATAACAGTTTACTACACTCGCATTACTGAATAAACTTTGACAGAGGTAACAAAGTCCATACACAGCTAAATAGGTCGATCACGTGATAATGGTAGGCAAACCGCGGAGGGAAATCACCTAAATTTCCCATCGGCTTATATAATTACACATTCAGTTTGTTTCCAACGGTGCTGCAATATTCCAAACTTGGATTGTAAAATCAGCTAGAGATATTATTGTGGTAGGTACTGTAGTAACCAACAATTATGCAATGAACTTGCTTTTTAATTTATGAATGTTTTCCATGGAGTGAAATTCTTAATCGCATTTGTTAAAGTGGAATTATCAAGGGCTGATATTTCAGATGGATTATTTCTACATCGGACGTATTTTCACGTTCTTTTCTTTTTCCAACATCAAATTTAAAATGTTATCCTTCAAACAAATTTCAGTGCACTTCACATGTCTTTGTACTACACGAACTAATGCAGTGCGTTACAAAATAACAGGTGTAACCAGGTACATATACCTAGCTGGTCGGAGTGCTTAGTAAAGCAACCAATAAAATAAATGTATAATTAGTGACATTTTGTGCGAGGAATCTAGCTCGTCTCCTCCAAAAACTATCCATAGAGTCTTAATAAATGCATGGACATATGTGATACATATATAATACAATGATAACTATCAAAATTAATTAACCAATCCAGTTTGTATACGAGAAAGAACAAAACCAGCCTACAGAGTACTCCTACAACTACGCAGGTTTTTTTCCTGATTCTTTTATTTTTATTCTGAATAGAAACAGCAGGAAAACCAACATTTTGATTAATTAACTTTGTTGCGTGTTTTTCACACAAAAAAACGCTGAACAGTTATATGCATATTTTTGATTTACCAGTCAGAAGATAATAGACCCAAGACGGATCCCTGAGGCACAACAGCATTTACATTTTAGCTGAAGATCTAGATTTGTTTAAAATGATGACTCCCTGTTAGTGAAGTACAAAATATAACTGAAAACGCAGATGAGGAGATTGGTGAAATTCCTTTATTCTCAATTTATTTATTGATAAATTAAACCAGAACGTCAAACTCTATTGAATCCTTTTTGATGAACCGTTTCTGAAAAAAACAAATCACACTTTGCGGGACTTTTATGAAGAATAATAAAGATGAAATAAACGAAATATTATCAACAACAGTGTAAAATAAACCGCGGGGCTAGACAAGGATTCGAACACCAGACGTCAGATTCTTGCTCTCACCGATTGAGCTAAATTGTCAAGGGGAGGTTACTGCATATAGGAAAAAACACAACCATGTAGGAGAGGGGTGCCATATATTAAGCCCATTTTAAGATATGCATGCGAAGAGTGAGATCATAACAGGGTTAAAATATAAACATATTTCTCTAGTGAACGAGGACTGTGAAGAGTCCAGAGGCTATACGAGGTCACAGATTGATATAATGCTAGCTAGCGTGCTGTCTGGCTAACAGGACGCAAATGAAGTGAAGAAAGAGCTGACAACTGTCACCCCTGCATTCACGTAGACAAGATGTTAAAACAAAGTACTTCTGTGGCCTTCTTATCTACCTATAATGTTGGAGACCTGACTACATATAACATTATAGTCACTCCCGAATTCCCAAACCCAAACGCAAAATTCCTTCTTTCCTTGGACAATTGAAAATTGAAATTCCTTTGATATTTCTATCCGAATCTCAATTTCTTTTTTCAAATGATGAAAATGGGAACCGTCGGCACTCTCTGTAAAAGGATTATATTTTTGTCTGCAATGGGACAGATGTCCAAGTTGAAATATGTATCGATAGAGCTGACTGGAAAAGATGTTTGTTTGTGCATTACGTCCCTATTAACAGCTATGGTCAGTTAAGGTTGTGGTGATGGAAGGAAACCGGAGTACCTGGAGAGAAAACACCGACCTGCGACAAGCACCTGGCGGCTGCACTCAAAATATTCAATAGAATTTGTGACAAATATGGTTTTAACTTATAAACTTACATTTCTTTTACTACACCAAGAGCAATGATTTCAACTGCACTGCTAATGGTCAAATTATGAAAATAATCTTCTACTGTGAGATTTCTCTGACGAGAAATCTTTAAGGATAAGCTAGGAAATCATGTTCTTGAGTGAAGTATAAACCGTTCTTACGCGTGGCTTTCTCAACTCACCACTCAAAACGTGATGATATTCAAAAACGCATAGGCTTCCCCTGAATATTTGTTTGAAAATGTTCCACTTAGATATTATTCAATAATATTCACTTTTGATACCTAACTTTTAGTCTATTGTTTTGTATCTAATTGATATCATACATGTTGCTTATATAAAAACGGTTATTTTTAAGAATTACCTTAACCCTCGACAAGTATTTTTAGTGACTAATTGGCGAATAATGCAATCAATACAATAGCCATCATTGTTTATAATAATAATGATAATGTAATAATACTGGACGCAGACAAAAGCCTATACATGTAAATTAAGATAATATGTATGATCAGCCTCTAGGTTGACGCCCCGACAGTGAATAAGTTCAGTATTATCAAGTTCGTGATTATAAAAACATTCTGGTTGTCCCCAGTGATTATCCAGCCGGGCTTCAAACGGAATCATTTATTCATCATACTATATTAATCAAAGATTGCTGAAAAAACCCGAACCCCGGTTATAAAATCTATACACACACAAATTCCAACAAATATTTTTGTCCGTGTGAATAATGTGCTCTTCCGGTCGTAAGTTTCCCTTTCTTTATAGTACATATGTAACAACCCCTCATCCCTTACTGCGGTGTTAACATGTCGCAGTTGATTCGGAACTCAACAGCTTCCTCCTTATATCATGACTTCTTTGATAGATGTCGACTGCTGTGGAAAACTTACCACGCAGGGAAATATAGTTTTTCTTTTAACGATATGAAGGTCTGTGTTTGTGGTTATGTTCATTAGAGTGCCTTGCGGTTTTGTTGTCATTCTCATTTGGAGTGTTCATACAAACTCACCGCTTGGAATTTCCCTCACACAATTTTCAACAGGTGAACGAATTACAAAAATGTACATGTATGTTTGATAATGCACCGCAGGAATGGCTGAACTCCTCGAAATTTCATTTGTAAAGACATTTAGTTAGTACACTTGTACTATATCGTTACAACATTATTTATGTAACTTCATCCTAAAGTGGAACAGAATTACACTGATGAGCACTCGTTTATTAGCACATGTCCTGCAGATTGAAATACGGCAATATCAAAATTGTGTTAGGCATGAACATGTTAGCAGCGTTTGCAACTGAAGATATAAAATCTGAATATGATTTCATAGATACATTAATTTTATTCTGACAATTTTTTTATTTCACATTTCTTTGACGGGCAGCTTCGATATAAAAAAATGAATAAAAACAAATTTCGAATGTTACGTCGTTTAGATTTCGATTTTTTGCTTTAAAACTGTATTTCCTGTTAATATGTCCACATATAAGGGTTAAGATATAGATATGCATAAACAAAATATCACTGGAAAAAATCTGTCTTCCAGTTAATACAATTATTATGTACTACTATTTTTTTTTACTATGTTAAATAAAGAATGACCATGATGATAGTATGTAACTGTTTTGTCCGTTTCTAATGTATTGTTCCAGTTCTGTCACTGTTTGTATATATTTGTAAACTAATATGCTGAAACGCTTTACAGTTAATAAGGAGTTTGAACTCGAATCAAATATTAACTGATAAAACTAGACAATGTTTAACGGATGTTGTTTCAGAAATAATATACCACTTGTACTGTATAGCCGTGTACAAAAATGAAGTAGAACTATTGTAATGGACCTCCCTGTCAATGGTAGGGAAACTAAGATAACGTCAAATTGTTCAGGTTAGGTGAATACCCTAAATTTCCCCCACAGACTTATGCGCAAGCGTAACTAGGTCATGTGATGTAAATACAACCGTACGCGGGCACCTGTCGATCAAACGTAATGGGATGAAATAGGTAATTTCCAAAAAGACTGTGTTTTATTTTTGGATAATTGTATTTCTTTTTGAAAACAAACGATGTTTACACAATTCTTCCATGCATATCTCTATTTTGAATAGTAGCAATACTAGTACTCCAATCCGTCCGCATCTTCGGCCCCATGTTAGTTTTATTGGGCTGATAGCGACTCCTCTTATATTTCATGTACATCTCAACTTGACACTCTGGTCATATTTGATTCTAGTTTTAAATGTTGATTTACAATGTAATTTAATCTTATATTTAATATTATACATTAGCTTATATAAATACATATGTATATTATTTTCCTTACCACCAAACTAGAGACCTATAGATTAATAGAGTTTTAAGCCTCCTGCTCTTGAAATGAGGTTTCTTTTGTGTTTTTGGATAAATCGTGCTGCCGTACTAGTATTAAGGCAGATGAACCCACAGGTCTGGACGTGCTGTACCTCCAACAGAAAAGAGCTCCAATTTGTTATGCGTTTATTTTAACAAAGATCGATGTACAAATACAAAAGAAATATTTGCTATTGTTTCCTTTTTGAAATAAATAGATATTAAAGACATGTTGACTCTGCCAAATGCCATGAATTCAATAGAAATACCTCTTACTTGCTTACAAAGCAAGAGGTTTATCCAAAGTTACCAGTCTTAAGTTTTACTGTTAGACCCTTCTACAACATTAGTGGGAATATATAATTTCAAAATAGTCTAACTTCCTTAAAAGGCACCCAACCTATGTATATATATATATATAATTCTAAGTGTATGTAGAAGTTTAATAGGAACTAGTCCGGTCAATTGTTGATGACCAAGCAGGTAGCTAGCTAGCTCAGTAAATTATATATAACGTTGGTAGAGCGGTCAGCATATCTGTCTGGAGTGGGTATGGGGTTCAAATTCCGATCTGGCTGTTGCAGTCCTCTTTCTCCTGTTACAAAATTAGTGAGCTTGCCAATCTTGTTTCAAGTACTAGGTGAATTACTTGACAAGGGATACCCAAACCTGTAAATAGTTGTGTCTCTGGGGGCGATGACTTCGAAAAAGGTGGGAGGAATGTAGCAGAACTGAACTAGGTTAATCGTCAGTGACCAGGTAGCTAAATTGGTAGAGCATCCGTCTAGAGGTTAAGGGATGTGGGTTCGAATCGTAGTCTGGCCGTTGCATTTCTCTTTCTTTTGTTACTCCTATGAACACAGTCTAAGTGGTGACTTAAATTGCGACCTTTAACCTTAAACTTTTATCTTGAAAACTGCTACCTTGCTTGGTTTCCACATGCATGTGCATTCATTCTGAGAGGTTTTGCAGAGTAATTGCCCTTTTTCCCCAACAGTATTGTACAGACATCTGGTTCTTTGAACAACATTGACAAACCCATATGATGTTGATGTTTGATGTACAGTTCATTTTAACTTTATTTTGCAGGTGAAAACAAGGTTAGCTTTTGGATATACCAGTATGGATGAGGAACACAAATATTTGCTCCGAAAGGCTCGACCTTTCATTGTGCAAAATCTTGCGGATGTTGAAGCAGTTTGTGATCAATTGATTGCTTTTGAAATCTTGACTGAAAGTATGGTTGACGAGATCATGGTAAATAGAAGTATTCTTTTTATTACTTTTAGTTTAGTGGTGATGCTCATTTTTGTTAATACTTCCTTCCTCAAAATAAAAACAAAATATGTAATTATATAAGGATTTAGCAGGTTTCATGTATATGTAACCAATTTGCGTTCATACTGGCATGAACATTGAAAAAATGGCATTCAATCCTTATATTTACATCATTTTTTTTAACTTATTAATGACCTAAATACAGATATTCCCTAATATGATGTTACCGATATTGGAGTATTTATGTCATCAGTGGAAACAAGATTCCTGGAACAGCCTAGCGTACGCCTCATCAAAATGTTTGAATCTAAAGTGGTTGTCTCATGTTATTTAAAACAAGAGGAGAAGCTTCAAAATGATGCTGATCCAATTGGGTTCATGGCCTGATGAACACAATTTTTTTTATGATAATGCTCATAGAGAAAATGCTGTGCAAATGTAAATATATCTGTATGATGTCATTGTGTCTGTACCTGTTTGGTTCACTTTAACAGTTTAACAGTCATGATTTAAGGTCTATGGGTAAAAAAGTTGAGTCTTGAATTAAGAATGTTGGTGGTGGATCATGTTGTCATGTAAAAAAAATATGAGCTTATTGAATACTTTATCAAAAATCAACCTACGCTATAGGTCATAGATTAATTATTCATTTAATTGGAATTCTGGAAAAAAACTTGTGAACACAGTTTCTCAAGAGTCATTGGTGCTGTATTAACCTATATTATGTGATAGTTGCCCCGTTATACATGTATGAAGTTTTAGGCGTGATAAATCATAATATTTGAAGGTCAAAAATTAAAGGTTAGGTCATATAGTAATTTATAGGGAAAATTATAAAAAAAAAAACATGAGCATATGTCATTAAAACTTGGAGTCAAAGGTCATGATCAGAAGTTATAGCTTGCACAGTATTTTGAAGGTCAAAGGAAGGTCACACAGAGTCACATGACATTAATCACATTAGGTAACATATACGGTAAGAACTCTAGCAGCTTCAAACACTAATTTGGGGTTCCAGATTTTTCGGGTACAGGCCCCTTAAATTCTGCTTGTACTCATGGAATGACTAGGTGCTTAATCTAAATAAGTACACTTAGGTCAAACAAAAAAATAAGTAAGTGTGTTTACTGTAACATGTTTGAAATATTTAGGGTTGGTTATTTAAGTACTCAAAAAGATGTATTTTTTAAATAGTTTTATATCTTTTATTACATGTATAAGAGTGATCTTGACTTTAATAGTGCTTCTTTGGAAACTAACTAAAAAGGTTAAGGGTAGGTAGGGTTACCAGAAAAACAAAAAACATTGTTTGGCCTTAAAATTATAATATGTAATTTGTAATTGTCTTACATATGAATGATATTAGTTGTACTATAATATCATTTCATGTTGTCCTATTTACCCTTTCACCACTATAGACCATAATGGACTCATCCAGATAAATCTGTGGAAGTGAAATCTACTAAAGTTACCTAGGGGTGAAAGGTTTAAATTAATACAAATGTTCTAGCAGCTTTATCATTGAATAGGGATTAGTCTGCTGGATAAGTGTTTTCAATGCTCCAAGATATTTCTTCACTACAATAGTACATCTGTACATTTGTAATTATATTTAATATAGTTATACTCATTTGTTGCTTTAGACAGTTTCTATTTTATTTTACAGTCAAAGCCTTCAAACGCCGGTAAAACAAGGGCTTTGTTGTCTGTATTGGTGATGCGCGGCCCCCAGGCATTTGATAGTTTTTATGAAGTAATGAAAATCACCAAAAACGAGACAATTGTTGACATTTTAAAACCTAAAGGAGATAAGAAATTTCAATCACTGCCTCGTCATCGCCACCTTGAATCACTCTCAACATCAAGTGCAAAACTGGTGAGAGCATCATCACTTCCTGAGCAAGTTATACCTCCTTTATATTCTGGTGATCTTGGGCAACAACATTTTATGTCTGTCCAGCCACAAGGGCATTTGGATGATACGAAGGCAGAGTATGGTGAATACAATGAATATGGAATGCTACTGAGTAATCAGACAGCGAGTAAACAAGTTCTTGGTGCAACAGCTCAAGTCTCTGAACTTGGTGATTTTAGTACTGGTGTTTTAGTTTCCGGATTTGAACAACATGTCAGCGGTATTGTCTCGGAGGCTTCAAGTCAAAAAGGTGAAATTGATAGGGATATGGACAACGTCCATCAGTCAGGTTATGGGGATCCTACACCAAATGTTGATCATTCTTCAGACCGTTGGAGAAGTGCTCCTTCGGATACGATACTTCCTGTACAGTCATTTGGTAATCTGCGTGCCCGATCTGAACAAGGACATGGAGTTCATGTTCCAAGGGATGATGAGCACTGTGAAAATGCAGAAGGACAGACATCGCTAACAAGTGAGACAGGAGACCTGGACGACATTAAACATGAAGGCAAGTAACCTGAACACGAACACTCCATACAATAGCTTACTATTATCATTATCATACATATATAAAGCACAATTACTTGACAAAGCTAGAATAAGCCACATTAAGATGTTCACCAATGTTACATATATATAAAATTCCTATAATCAATTTAAACAATCAGTATAGTAAGAGTATCTGGTGAGAGTTAATTGCCTTATCAGGCACTGAGTGATTGACCACTGGTCCTGATGAGCTACGTATATACCTGGCTAATACTTTGACATATGTACACATGCCTGTACTGGAGGTATATTAATTAGTGTCCTGTTTTGTGCTGGGACTGTGTTTTCAAAAGAGCCATTTTCCCATAGAACCACATCACTTGAATGTTTCAGCACAGATACTGTAGCAGCCACCTGCACACACTTACAAATTGAACCCCAGCTGTCATTTGCTTGAACAGCTGAATTGTTATCCACTTAGCCAAGGGCTTATAAGCTTGTTGAAATAAATCACCTTGATTTACTTTCAAGGTCACAGGGGTTATATGTTTTAAATCTTCAAAATTTTCTTCTGAATAACCAAGAACCTATAGGGTCATGATTTTGCCTGAAGCACGCTGGGATGAAGGGGTGCTTTACATTTTGTCCAAATAAATGACCTCGACCACTTAAAAATTAACTTTCAAGGTCACAGAAGTCAAATGTGTTTAACAATTTTAAACAACTACTACATGTAACCAAGAGACCTTCAATCTTCTGAATATTAACATGCATGTGGCCTAGGGTTAAGAGATACTTTTTTTTACAACATAACCAGAAAATTAAAAGATTTTGTCATTCATAATGTTTAAATTTGAAATACTAACAACCACTTTCCTGATGCTCAGTTCACTGTCATGATCTTTTCTTTATGACAAAAATGCACAAGTTCACATTAATTTTATATACCATCATTAATTTCCCAGGTACTTGACCAATCAGAAAGCAGAATTCCATTCAGTGTTGTTTTTGATATATATATATATATATGGCCTGAAAACTGCACAATCCATTCACATAGATATATAGTATACATTTATAAGTATGTTATTATGGTCTTTATAAACAGGGAATGGCTGGCCAAGGACGAGAATACACTCACGTCCCTTGGTCGATTTAAGTATTCAACAACCGTGCAGTAGGCAGCAAGTGAGGCAGTTAGCTATGGACGTTGCAAACAATCGGGTGAGAGCATTAATTAAACTTTTAAGTGTATTATTTCAGGACCTTTATCACCTTCATTGTAAGGTTAAAGGTCAGTTTTGACACCTATATATACTTCCCTCTTCTTCTCGCATAGCACCAGAACAGAAGGTCTACCTAATACAAATGTATTTATACTATATGATAAATTTAAGGTCATGAAAGAGGTATTTGTATATACAACAATCAGATTTCAGAGATTTAGTTACGTTTTAGTTTGCCAGGCGAACCATAATTAGTTTTCCCTCTAAATAATTAAAAGCTTTCAAGTAGGAATTTGAGAAAGAATCACATTCTGTCTGATGTACAGGATTTTGAAAGTCGATGTTTATTATTCGTGAGTCAAAGTCTCGATGTTTCAAATATTTCCTGATGGTCCAGCAAAGTTTCAAATATCAAAGTTTGAATGTATAAGAGAAATCTCTGAAGCAAACCATGATAGATTTCATCATATCTTGTCCTTCCAGGTCTACGAGTGTGATCCAAAGTTTCAAAGACGACTTGTGATCATCAATAATTCTGTGTTCCTGCCCAGTTCAGGACTGCCACCGAGGACCACGGCAAATATTGATGCAACCAGTCTTGATCTGCTCTTCAAGAAGCTGAGTTACAGTACAAAGACTTACAGCGACTGCTCTTGTCAGGTAGCTCATGATACAGGACTTCTACATGTACACACAGATTTGGAATTTAGAGTGACGGTTCTTGTCGGTTAGTTCATGATCAGGGACTTTTATATGTACACACAGATGGGAGATTTAGAGTGACGGTTCTTGTCAGGTAGTTCATGATACAGAACTTTTACATGTACACACAGATTTGGAATTTAGAGTGACGGTTCTTGTCAGGTAGTTCATGATCAGGGACTTTTACATGCACGCACAGATGGGAGATTTAGAGTGACGGTTCTTGTCAGGTAGTTCATGATCATGCAGGGACTTTTATATGTACACACAGATGGGAGATTTAAAGTGATTGGTCCTGACATTTCATTTTAATTGTTAGAAACATTTTCTAATTCAGAATATTTCATTTAGTACCTTTTATTCATGTCAAATTTCTGATCATAACCCTTAGTCTCCCAAAAATGTTCTTTTAGAGAGAATTTCTTATAATGTCATCCTCCTCCTAAAATAGCTTGTTAGACATTACTTCTTTTATCCTGTAGTATGTTCTGTTTTCAGAGAATGATGGAGGTCCTACGTGGGGAGAGTACTGGACAGAGCTTGAATCGCCTTGACACTTTTGTTTTGGTAATTATGTCTCATGGTGAAGGAGAGAAGATATACGGAACAGAGGGTGAAGCGATTGACATTGGGAACATCACTGAACTATTCAACGAAAATCACTGCCGAGCTCTTCAAGGAAAACCTAAGCTATTTTTTATTTCGGCCAGCAGACGACAACAAAGTAAGTATTTTATGCCTCATATTATAGCGGTTATAACACATATATACCTGTACAAAATCTTCATACATTAATTTTCATTATTAAATCAAATGAAAGTGGGACAAATTGTACAGAAAAGCCTGTATAAAAGACCACCCTCGAAAAGTAAAAAAGTGGTCCCTTAACACAGGTGCTTTTTAATACAGTTTCAGTTCAACATGAAATCACTACTTTAGTGAATACTTCAATGGTCTCTTCATACAGGTGTTTTTTTAATAAATGTGGTTCGTGATCAGGTTTAACTATTTGTTTTTACTGGTAATTTTCCTTGGAGGGGTTGTTACTTTCAAAGCTGGTAGATATTTTGATAAAATTTGAAGTACAGTATAACACAAATTATTCATTGGTACATGTATTTCCCCCTCGTTGTTTGAAGCTATTTACTGTAGATGGTTTTGTTGTACAAACTTTTGTCAATACCATTATATATACAAATATTAATATGTATTTCAATTAAATTTGTTGTATTTATTTTCGTGGTTCCATATAGCAACCACGAAAACCACAAATGTTTATACACAGTAACGTTGAAGGTTATACAGCATATATTTACATTTGCCCCCGCGCCGTCCCATTACAACAGTGTTAGAGGGCAAGTGTAATTATATTAGGCTAAAATTACAACTGCTCGACTATAATTACAACTGCCTGTTTCATGTGTAGGAATCTGTAAACAAACAAAATGGCCGCCTGAAATGTATTTTGAGGCAAGGCAAATGGTTTTTGTAGGAATATGTCTTAAAAAAGAAAAATATGTAAATATAAACAATAACTGGTTGTCTGGATGTAATTATTGTTGATATAATTACAAGTGGCCTCTGGCAAATCTACCATAAAACCCACAGGTGTGAAAAGTACACTGTTATTTGGTCTCAATTAATGTGACCTTCACCTCTAGATCAAAGGTTTTGTGATGAAACTTAATGAGTACCATACCTGCATGACCAATAGAAAGTACACCTGCATCACAGAAGGTTAATTTGAAGTGTAATGAATTAAGATCTGTCAAATGTAAAAAAAAAAAGGAGTGTTTTTTTACTTAAATCTTGTCTATGCTTGAAACATTTTTGACAGGTTGGTGATTTGTTATCTCATGGTCAAGGTCAAGACAAAAAATGAAATGTCTAATTGCTGTTCTTTATCTGTAATTAAGTTGATGATGTTTTTGGATGAAACTTCATTAATATAAGCATTGTCACTACACACCAATTGAAACTTGAAGGTCAAGGTCACAGAAGGGGGGGAGAGTGAAACTTGAAGGTCAAGGTCGAAGAAGGGGNCAAGATGACTTTGGATGGGGTTTGGTTAGGTTAAACCTAATGTTTATGAAAGTTAAAAGGTACAATGCTTTGACAATATGGTGTGCTGGATGAACTTTTCATGATAAATAAATTAATCCTTCATGAATTTCATTATAAATATAATTAAATCAATCTCTAGGATCTAAAACTTCTCATAAAAGTGTTTTAACTTGCAATACATGTTCAACGGAATTTACGAAAACAGCAATAACAGGTATAAAAAGTTAAAATAAATTTTTAGCTTACTGTATAGTTATATTCCTGGGGGTTTAATTTTGCAAATCACAATATCTGTAAGTCTATTTCAGACTTTTTGTTTAGTTAATTTTATTTCAGCTGTTTTTTTTTTTTCAAAGTGTACTTTTTTCAAAACAATGTTTTGACCTAGTTAAGCTTCTACTCAACTGATATCACGGACATGAAAAGCATTATGGTGACTATCTCAAAATATTCACGAGGGGTTTTAATTTCACGAATCTTAACACATACACAAAATTAAAAAAACTTCGTGAATATTTGCAGCCATAGGGTAATTTGAAAATTTTGAATGAGAATTAACGAAAATAAACAAAATCATATCTCCTGCTTCACAGTACACTGTAACATAAGTAACAGACAAACACAAAAGAAACAGAATTTGGAACCACGATAAAAAATCCTTTGCTTTGTCACTTACTTACTGTATAAATGTTGGTGTTTTTGTTTGACAGACAAGTCAAGTGGAGAGGATTGTGCTGCATCTGACTTGGAGAATGTAGAATATGATAGTCTATCACTGGGCATGCTCAACAGCCTTGTTTCCATGACTACAGATTCTGGAAGAACTGAACCCAGCAACATGTTTATTGCCAGGGCAACAACACAGTGTAAATTACAACTTTTCTAACATTTCTGTGATGATTACAAGAATCATACTTCCCTTTTTCTGAGCCTCTCTAGAAAAATTGACAAAAGCCACCACAAACTAGTTCTGTATGACTGAAGCAGACGACAACAAAACATGTCAACCTGATCATCTCTACTATTGTGTTAATCTTTTTGATGCATCAACTTATATTTTCGGTGTAATAAAATATTTTTTGCCCTTACTGTAGGGAAACACGATTCTTTGTTTCCCCGAGGTTAATCATGTTTCACTTTGTCCTTTTGATACATAATTAACCTTGGAGAAACAAAGAATCGTGTTTCCCTACAGTAAGGGCAATAAATGTATAGAAACCCATCAGTACATGTACTTCTTTCGACTCCATCAGTCAGTCAGCCTGTCTGTTCCTTTGTCTGTGCATATCTCTTATACTCATATCACCTACGATTGCCAAATTTTGTTTGTTAGTATGTGTAACTTTCAGATAATACACTGTAAAGTGTTGCAAACTAAAGTAGCCTGGGATGACTGATGTTTGGCCTACTTAAATCAGGTTGCATTGCCCTTGTTCAGAAGTTGTTTCAAGTGTGGGGACAATGGATTGCTCGCAACTCGTTGACTTGTTAGATTTACGGGCATATATACATTGTTCTTTTTAACATCAACAATAGTAATTCTTCATATTAATGTTCTGCAGGTCAAAAGCAGTGAATGGTTGAAGCAATTTGTTTGGTAAATGTGGCTAACTGAGGGGTGGGGATGGCCAACTGAGGGGTGGGGATGGCCAACTGAGGGGTGGGGATCGATGGCCAACTGAGGGGTGGGGATAGAGGTGGGGATAGAGGTGGGTTTGGTAACCTTTTTCTGAGTTTAACGTCTCATCAACAGCTAAGGTCATTTAAGGACGTGCCTCCATGTGTGTTGTGTATGCGTGTATGTGTGTATGTGTGCTGGTGACAGGGTATGTTGGTGTATTTGCCTCATTGTGGAAGCACGGATCTGATGCCGACTTTATAGTGCTATCTCACTAAAATATCATGCTAAAGGCACTCAGCACAGCATTCTACCCATCTCATTATACTGACAATGGGTGAACCAGTTATTGTCATGTATTCTTGTCTGAACAAAAAATATTTGTATGTTGAATGTACATGTACATCATAAAAGGTAAACAGTGAGCCAAATGGAACTAATAATCGTTAACATCAAAAATGAAATTCTCAATTATGTATATTAGCCCTATAAATAGACTTACTTAATATTTTTGGAAGCTTTTGATGAAAAGGACACAAAGTCATAATGACCTGTAAAGGTTAAAATGATGCTATTATGTAATCATATGGGAAAATAAACTTCATGATTGCCATTGTAAAATTTCAAAATCTGACTTTCGGGTTCAAGATAAGTTTCAGTGTTTTCTGAATATTGAAATCATGTCTCGTTTTTCGTTCCAGGTAATGCAATGTTTAAGGGTATTTCCTTTGGGTCCCAGTTTATTCAAGCATTCATTCACGTCATCAAAGAACATTCCTCCACACTTGACCTAATAACTCTCATGGAAAAGGTAAGAATATAACAAGAGCTAAATATAGGTTAATTTTGATAGAGAGGATACTTCTTCAATAGTGAAAAAGATTAACCCTTTCCCTCTGAAAAACATAATGGACTCATCCAGATTAATGCAAGGTAGAGTCTACTCATTTGCATAGGGTTAAACATCATTTATCAAATAAATATGTAAAATAACCTATTGCAAAAAGACATTAATTTGTAGTACATTTACCTGCATCAAAAGCATGTAGAATTGTACATTATTTTATAATACCAGGTACATTAAATATTATGATGCCTTATCTATATAACATTGTTTCTGATTGGATGATTTTGATCACATGATGGGAAATAATACATTGTGTTTTCACCTCATGTACTCGACTTTTACCAGTCTTGTATCCCTTATTGAAAGCCTCTCTATGAAAAATGAGTAAGAGGCACCACTGGTACCCGAGTTCCTAGAGATTGAAGCAGACGTCAACAACTGCACGGAAGCCTAATCATCTTCACATTTGTGTGTTTGCTCTGTTTTAGTATAATTAACTGTCAACTGCTCTTTCAGTAGGGAAACAAAATATATTGCTTCCCTTCAATTAACAATGTTTAGTTTGGGCTTTGCCCAGGTATATGCTTAGTATTACTGATCAGTGCATTTCTTTTATTTTCAGATGAACCAACTTGTAAAACGGCCTAGTGGGAGCCCCTTTAAGCTTGTAGAATATACAAATATTCTCAGCAAAAAGTTTTATTTTTTAGACACGAATACAACAGCTTCCCTTGCGATGTCAATATAAAGTGACTATATGTTTCTCTACTTGGACAGGATTATTTTCCTACTTGTGCTATTGACAACTATCATAAAAATCATTGAACATCTATAATTATCCAAGCCATCATTTCCATCCAGGTGAGCTAAAAGTGATCACGGCCTATGCTAATTACTGAGATATGATGAGTGTTACCATTATTTAAGCACTCCTTAATTTGTATCCAAGCTGATGATGAATATCTAATCCAAATTGGTTATATATAGCAAACAATCATTCTGGGGCAGTCATATCCAACTGTACAGCTCAAGCAATATTACAGTGAATCTAGAATATGTACGCAAATTCTATTTTATGAAACTACTAGACTACTACCCACTACTAGACTCAGGTCAAGTTTGTGAGAAACAAACGTGACAGACGAAGTCTTGCATATGATGGTTACATTTATAGTGTTAAGAACAACAGCGGTGAGAGGACCTACTGGACCTGATGTGTTGATGCCACCTGCCCTGCCACACTGACTACACTCAATGAAATTCCAGTACGGTTTGGACACTGCAGAGATTACGTCAATACCGAGCATCTACAACGAGGAAGTGACCAAGCTCCGGACAGACGAATGGAATGATGCCAGCGAGAGGATTGTCAAGCGTCTACCGACCTTCTACTCAATGTACGCTAGCTGTCTTTACCGAGCCAGATGGACGCAGACACCAAAGTTACCAATGACCACCGGAGACATTGTCCTGGACGGATTCTGGACCAAGACGACTGCCGGGGAACGGTTCCTGCTTTATGATGATATAGATGACTTGCGCATCATCAGCTTCGCTACTATGGACAACCTCTTCGACCTTGCCAATGCTGACAACCTCTACTGTGATGGAACTTTCTTCACATGCCCTAAGCTCTTCTATCAGATATACACAATCAACGGACTGATTGATGGAAAGATGTACCCACTCAACTACTCACTACTACCAGGCAAGACCCAGCAGTTGTACACCCGTTTCCTGACACTACTAAAAACAACCATGACCGACCTCAACCTACCTCTCAACCATTTACATATACGGCGATACTGCAAATGGCCGTCGAACAGCATCAACTTGCAGGTAGACTTGTGTGGTTCGTTAAAAACAGGTTAAAAAGTTAAAACTATTTACAGGATCCACACTCACTCTGCAAGATGACTGTGGAGTGAGGTCTTGAATGCCTCCACAGTCAGCTGCTCAACGACCTCTGATGGTAGTCCATTCCATTCCATTCCATGATGGTGTTTGGAAAGAAGCTGTATTTGTAGGTGTCGGTGTTGCATCGTATGTTGATATAGCCGTGGTTATGTTGTCTCCTTCCACTTCTGGCGTTACTACTGATATATCGTGGTATGATCAGTGCGTTGACCCAACAACAGTGTTCGTTGACTTCGAGACTGCAGCACACAACGCTCTACGAAAGTGTCCCCCGGGAGCAGTTTTGAACTATACATCGAGAGTGGCGGCCTGGGTTCTATTCTCCAATCTGACATGAAAAGATATGAGGTCACCTTGGCTGACCACGTGGGTTTTCATTGGGTAATCCAGTTTTCTCCCACATTAATTAAGACCCCCATGCGCAAATATGCATACAAACCAACAAGAGTGATTACCAAATATAAGTTGAAAAACTTATTTCATAATTGTTGTCAAATAAATCAAATTTATATTTAGAGGGTGAAATGCTTGGATTTTGAAGATGAGAATAGGCAGCATATAATATGTAAATGTCTTTGTGGTTTGTGTACAAAGATAAACAAATTATGAAACGTGTGATAATCAATAACAATATTCTTCTTGACATGTTTCTTTTCTCCAAAGCTTGTGGATTATACTTGAAAAAGTAATTCAAATAAACAGAAAGCTCTGTATAGCACCTGCAAAATCTTTTTTTATTTTTTTCTTACACTACCTGAGATTTGTAAACTTTAAGCCATGCTAATAGGTTCTGGATATAAAAACCATGCTAATAGGTTCTGGATATATATTTCATTTCTAATGAAGTCTTCTACACATGAAAATTACCCCTTCTAAGTTCTGTACATCTCAAAACGTTTAAAGAAACAAATGTAAACAAACAAAAAGCTCACTATATGGCCATTGTTTTTATTTCTCAGCTTCTAACTGTTACATTGTTTGTGAAGGTTTTAAACAACAAAGATAATTTCCTAACATTGTATCATATTGTATACTATAATTTTAATACAATGATACTGTATAAGTTTAATGCAATTTTTGTCTAAATATTAGGAATAAATCATGTTTTTTTAGGTATAAAACAAAGCCATATTTTCTCTAGAAACCTGTATTTCTAGTGTGTTTAATCTAGTACACTGATGTATATCTGGTGTATGTATATATATTTACGAATAACTCCTATATAGGCCCCTATGACATGTCAAAAAAATAAATGACCCGATAATGAGTATAATCAGGAAAAAATCACAATGAAGTTATCACAGATGTATACGAGTCATGGCTGATCACAGAGATTTTACTCCAAAGATTCCCAGTCGTGGCCATAGTCAAGTTTACAATGTATCTTGGTTGTAAATAAATCTCTCTAACATACAATGTTTGTGAGCAAGTCCCTTTAATGTAATCCAGATGAGAGCAGGTGGCTCCGAAGTACCCAGGATGCGAGTAAGTGACTCAAAAATCCCTAGATATAGGCAAGTTCCTCCAAAGCAACCTGGTTGTGATGTCACTAATTTACTAAAGTCACTCAAAACTACCCTAGTTGTGGGTAATTATATAAGTTTCTCCAAAGTCACTGGTTGTGGGTAAAAGTAAGTCCTTGAAATGATTGTACCCCTTGTCAGTCCAAGTCCCTCAAAACTACCCTAGTTGTGGGTAATTATATAAGTCTCTCCAAAGTCACTGGTTGTGGGTAAAAGTAAGTCCTTGAAATGATTGTACCCCTTGTCAGTCCAAGTCACTCCAAACTACCCTAGTGATGGGTAATTCCCTTCAAACTACACAAGTGATGGGTAAGGCCCTTCAAACTACCCTAGTTGTGGGCAAGTCACTCCAAACTACCCTGTTTGTGGGTAAGTTTCTCCAAACTACCCTAGTTGTGGGTAACTCACTCTTAACTACCCTAGTTGTGGGTAACTCACTCCAAACTACCCTGTTTGTGGGTAACTCACTCCAAACTACCCTAGTTGTGGGTAAGTTCCTCCAAACTACCCTAGTTGGGTAACTCACTCCAAACTACCCTAGTTGTGGGTAAGTCCCTCCAAACTACCCTAGTTGGGTAACTCACTCCAAACTACCCTAGTTGTGGGTAAGTCCCTCCAAACTACCCTAGTTGGGTAACTCACTCCAAACTACCCTAGTTGTGGGTATAACTCACTCCAAACTACCCTAGTTGTGGGTATAACTCACTCCAAACTCCCCTAGTTGTGGGTAACTCACTCCAAACTACCCTGTTTGTGGGGATAACTCACTCCAAACTACCCTAGTTGTTGGTAACTCACTCCAAACTACCCTAGTTGTGGTTAACTCACTCCAAACTACCCTGTTTGTTGGTATAACTCACTCCAAACTCCCCTAGTTGTGGGTAACTCACTCCAAACTACCCTAGTGATGGGTAACTCACTCCAAACTACCCTAGTTGTGGGTATAACTCACTCCAAACTCCCCTAGTTGTGGGTAAGTTCCTCCAAACTACCCTAGTTGGGTAACTCGCTCCAAACTACCCTAGTTGTGGGTAAGTTCCTCCAAACTACCCTTGTTGGGTAACTCACTCCAAACTACCCTAGTTGTGGGTATAACTCACTCCAAACTACCCTAGTTGTTGGTAACTCACTCCAAACTACCCTAGTTGTGGTTAACTCACTCCAAACTACCCTGTTTGTTGGTATAACTCACTCCAAACTACCCTAGTTGTGGGTAACTCACTCCAAAATACTTAAGTTGTGGGAATGTCCCTCAGAAGTAACCTGGTTGTGGTAAGTGTCGCCAAAATCACTGGTTGTGGGTAAAAGAAAGTCCTTGAAATGATTGTACCCCTTGTCAGTCCAAGTCACTCCAAACTACCCTAGTGATGGGTAACTCACTCCAAACTACCCTAGCTGGGTAACTCACTCCAAACTACCCTAGTTGGGTAACTCACTCCAAACTACCCTGGTTGTGGGTATAACTCACTCCAAACTACCCTAGTTGGGTAACTCACTCCAAACTACCCTGGTTGTGGGTATAACTCACTCCAAACTACCCTAGTTGTTGGTAACTCACTCCAAACCACCCTAGTTGTGGGTAACTCACTCCAAACTACCCTAGTTGTGGGTAACTCACTCCAAACTACCCTAGTGATGGGTAACTCACTCCAAACTACCCTAGTTGGGTAACTCACTCCAAACTACCCTAGTTGTGGGTAAGTCACTCCAAAATACTTAAGTTGTGGGAATGTCCCTCAGAAGTAACCTGGTTGTGGTAAGTGTCGCCAAAATCACTGGTTGTGGGTAAAAGAAAGTCCTTGAAATGATTGTACCCCTTGTCAGTATAAGTCCCTCCAAAAAACTCTGCTAGTAATTTGAGTCCCACCAAACTACCCTGGACGTGGTCATGTCCCTCAAAAGTACATGTATGGGTAAGTCCGTCCAAAGTACTCTTGATGTGTGTAATTCACTCTCAAGTCCCTCATTGTAGGTAAGTGGATATGAAATTTCTATTTGCACGTAAGTCCCTCATTAGTAACCTGATTGTGGTTAAGTCCCTCCTCAGTCACTGTTTGTGGGTAAGTGACTCCAAAGTCCCTGTGGGTAGGTCCCTGAAAAGTACCCTGGTTGACAAGAAATTTCTTGTAAGTTCCCTGGTTATGAGCATTTCTCTCCAAGGAACCCAGTTTGGGATCCTACTTGTCAGCTAGTTCTTAAATAGAACTTTTGTTTTAGGCGAGTCCTTCTGAACAACCATTGCTGTTTATTGTTCAAAGTTTCTTTCCATCTCATCCACACAATAAGCTAGGTGCCCTGGTCCCTCCCACCATTGTGAACAATGCTTGAAACACCCTTACCGACCTCTACAATGCCTGGCTGGCATCCATCGTGCAACAAGCCAGTTCATTCAGCTCCGAACAATCCAGTGTCATTGATGGTCAAAGTGGCCAAGAGCTGCTGAAACTCCTCCACAGTCCAGCGATCTGCATTTGTAGGAACAGCCTGGTTGCTGCTGCTCATTGAACTGGGAAAAAAACCCCATATAAACAGATGAAATTTTGGAATTAACAAATCAATCAACAACAAATTTCTGAGTGAAATATTATATCCCAATTAAATTGCAATAGGTGATAACCACACCACACCACAAAAGAAAATGTAGACTTCCATTGGTTATTCTTTCAGCATGAAATTTTTATGTTGCACTCACAGGCAGTAAACATCAACTCTTTCACCCTTGAAAACACATTTGAACTCTTCCAATTCAAAGGCTGGAATAGTTCATTATGAAATTTCAGGGATGAATGAGTTAACACATGTGCCAGCAGTGCCATGAATAACAACACATACCATGGGTGGTAACTCTCACTGACTGTCATCTTACAATAACCTCTTACACTTGTATGAAGTCTACTGACTGACATATATACATAAATTAGATGTCTGGTGTGGGGCCAGAGCGCACTGCTATATAAAAACATTGAATTCTCCGACAACGTTTGGTATCGGAGGGTTATGAGCTGCTGACAACAAAAATCTACTATGACACACCACATACCTCACATATATCAATAAATGGGTTATTTATTGATCCAAATCAGCTCTTATTATCACCAACAGGTGTTAAATTCCGTCAGTAGAGTCCTCGATTTTCAATCTTTCAAAACTTCCCACTTGAGTGAATGCCATTTTGGTAGGTCATGGGGCGACTCATCAACAAACAATACCGATCCAGACCGAAAAAGGGATAAATTATTCTTTTTTAGGAGATTTCCGGACCGCATCATTTTGTTGATTAGTCACTCCCTCATACCAAACGGTGTCGGAGAATTCCACATTTTCATATAGCAGTGTGCTCTGGCCCCACACCAGACATCTATATGTCAAAATGTCTTAGTCTGGTGTTAGGGCCAGAGGAAACTAATTATCTGTCTGAAATTATTTTTAACAGAACTTAAGTCGAGGCAGGTGATATGAACCAATGTTACTGGCAAACTATATACATCTAACTACTGCATTTATCCAGCAATAAGCCGTTGACTGGTAATAAGCCCACCCATATTCATTGCGGTTCAGAAAAAATGCCAACAAATGGTTTTCCATTGTACAGAATTGTCCAGAAATTAACCCATCTACCTAGGGCAGCTAGGCAATAATAAAACTGCTTCATAATATTTACCACTGAGACTTGCACAAATGGGCATGCTGAACATGTCGGCAGTTTGATATTTTAGTGAAACTTAACTGCATAGTGTTTCATTACATGTAAACTATTGGTACATGAATTAACCTCTTGACCTCAACATACATGTCAATAAAGGAAAGTAAGATTGTCAGTCAGAACTTACTTTATCATAACTGGGTCGTTGAAGGTTACCAGGATGTCAGTCGTGAATTCTGGGATACGGAACAATCCCATGTGTATGTTGATTATATTCGTAGAGTCTTCCTTGAACTTGGAAACCTTCTGTTGTCCCAGGACATAGCGAGCACTTTGACACCTGGAAAACAACAACAGATTTCACATGCTATGTTTGTCATTCCGAACCACAGATTATGTTTCAATTTTTTTTAAACAAGCAGCCATGATGTCACTCATCCATTACCTCATTTTTGTATAATACTTGGTGCAATATACATTTTCCTGCAACATATAAGCATATTTTCTGGTAAAGTATCATATTGTTTATTTCCTTTTGCTCTGCAATACAGAAAAGTTGTAGAATAGTATACAGGATATATAGACAGTGGGAGTATAAAATGTCCTAATCAAAGTACTAGCCCTAAAGTTGATTTTGAAAAATTCTTTCTTGCACTGAAAATATATAACAAAGTCCTGACTTAAAATACACTAAGTCCATATGTCATGCAAGTTGAATTATACAGCCATGGATAATCTTTCAAAATACAAGATATAATCAGAATCTGGATTGAAAGACATATTGCTTGTTATCATTAATCATTCCTTACTGTTTCCCAAACAAACACAAATATTTTTAAGACAAAAGACATGCATGTCTCTATACAACAGTTATTCAGACATGGACACGGGATAATTTCATTAAAATTTCTATTATGCTATTATGTTAAACAACATATTGATGACCTCTTTTATTTCGATGTCTGACAAAAGTTGTAACTGATGCCAGGAGTTGAACCAACCCACTGGGGTACAAATTTTGTCAAACACAGATCCCACATGTACATTGCAGATGTGAGCTTCAATATTCACAGGAAAACAAGAGTATCAGTGGAACTGATGTATGCTCCCACGAAAACAACTTTATTGGAGGCTTTTCCTGTTTCTGAATTTTGCATTTGGTTAGATTTATGACGCATACTGGTAAAAATATGTTGAAATGGGGAGTTTGGAAGAAGAAAAATGATGTTTTGACACGTTACATACATGTATATGTTTCCGACACATAGCATATGCTTCAGCTATGAAATATGAAGGCATAATTTACTGATAATGTATTCTATTATATGCCAGCTATAAGCACTGATAGTTATATATGTGTGTCTATGAATATTTTGGTGTTGTAAATTTTGTGGGAGATTAAGCAGAGGGCAAAAACTCTGTAAATAATAAGTTGCAAGCCTTGAATTCAGTACATTGAACATCACCTTAGTGTGACTGATAAACACTCAAAGATTCATGATCCTAGTTTAAATGCAGGCAAAGTTGCACTCCGGACATGATATTTTAGCAAAGGGCAATAACTCAGTTACAGTGCATATCACCTTAGTGTGACTGATGTACAATTGTACACACCAAGATTCATGATCCTAGCTTAACTGCAGGCAAAGTAATGCTCCAGACACGACATTTTAGGAAAGGGCAATAACTCTGTAATTAAGGGGTTGTGGGGCTTGAATTTGGTACTGTGCATATTGCCTTAGTATGACTAATGTACATACTGAGTGAAAGTTTCATGATCCTATTTTAAATGCAGGCAAAGTTATGCACCCGACACAACATTTTAGCAAAGGGCAATAACTCTGTAAATAAGAAGTTGTGGGCCCTAAATTGGGTACAGTGCACATCGTCTTAGTATGAGTGATGTACACATAAAGTTTCATGATCCTAGATTAAATGTGGGTAATGTTATAATGCGGACTCGAAACGGACGGACGGACGGACGACAGACGGACAAAGCGGCAACTATATGCTCCCCCGAAAATTTTCGAAGAGCACAAAAAACTAGATCAAATGAAACATAAAGACTTACTGTGACATGGCTAGTTTGTGAGAAGGCATCTCGGCAGCCTCTAGGATGACATGATCACCTTCCTTCACGTCATTGTCCCGCACCAAGTCATCGTAATGTGTCCTATAACAAAGAATACAGTTTAATTCACTCGCCTATTGTCTTAAATTTACATAACTATACATTATGCATACCTACCTATCACAATATTTGCACTGAGCTGAATTCATCATTTGTTCCAGAGTGAAAAATGAGGGCTGAATGAGATGTTTCCAATATTACAGTATATTTAAAGAATTCAATTGGAGAAATAACTGAAAATTATCGGTAATGAATCATAAATCTGACCAATTCAAATTTTCATATTTGAATTTAAACTTTGCCTCTTCATAAAATATATGAAAATATCTTGCAAAGTGATCTATCATCTTGAAAAGGTTTAAGTGAGATTTTGTGACAAGACTCACTTGAGAGCGATGTCGTCAGGCTCCTGAACATACTCCAGAATTTCTACGATGATGCTTTGGTCGGTGACGGAGTGAGTGAACACCTCCTGGTGGTCTGGAATTTCTCGGAATTTACTGTAGAACACAACACGATTATTCAAGACTATCTCTGTAACCCATTACATTATTAGTATGACATGATCAGTTAGATGAGATTTTCAATTCAGTTGGGACAAACATAGATTTGATCCTCCATTTTATTTTATTCTTCATTACATGTATTTATATCTGTAACCTAAGAATTATATAATACTGTCATCCATGAGCATTTATAAAATGAGTTACCTCCCTTGGTACAGTACAACATTTCAAACACACCAATTTAGAATAGGGGTACATTCGCGTATCCGGTTGAAACGGTTGAACCTGTAAAAAGTCAACAGGCACAGATCTTGACCGAGGCTGAAATTTGGCACGTGTAGATTGAGGGGTCCAGACGTACCTGACTGAAACTAAATTGCTGACTATTGCTAGTTTGCGTTATTTATTTCTAAAACAATGTCAAGTCACATGTAGTTTTTAAGATACGGTATGTTATTCAGTGGACGGATGAAAGAAGGTCATAATATTCTTGATTCACTGTTTTTTATTCTCCAAAACTGTGCATGTTTAGCTCTGCTTATATAACGGTCCAAGTGTGTTCGTTTATTGTGGAAAATTTCTGCGCCACGCGTACCGTTTCACCGGGATATACGAATGTAGCCTAGATATACACAACATTAGTTTTAAACAATATCTAATTTTGAAAATCACTAAATTAATTATATTACAAGACATTTTCCCATAATAAAATGATTTTGAAAATTAATCTGTAACATATAACATTATAAACTACACAAATTCATAATCTATCCATTTTACAAGGAAGCAGTTAACATAAGGACCAATCCATTTTATATTGGACACAGTTAATGTAAGGATCAATCCAATTACAAGGTTAATTGGTCAATTATAAAACTACAAACCTCATGTCTTGAGCATCTGGAGGGAATATTGCAGACAAGGCTCCTCCAAACAGATCTTTTTCTGCCTGAGTCTGATCCATGGCTGACATCCTCAAGATTTTCCTGTTCTGAAATAAAATAAATGAAACAGGATAACTAAAGACAAAGACTAGATGTTATATAATATGTACATATACATGTCATACAGATGTACCAGTGGAATTTTTGTGATCATTACCATAATGAAATTACATAGTATTTAATACTGCAAAGAAACTTCTTGTAAAGCTTCAATGATAACATGCTAGATTAAAAAGATATACATGAACAGTAACTTCAAAGACTGGAATAACCTATGCCCCATCCCATGCTAAGTACTGATTTTATTCCAAATGAAAGGAGTCCAGAAAATCTTCTGCTAGACTGATGATCTATAGTAAAATTTTCGGAAAAAATTGAATCATGCTTGCTTCCATATACAAATGTTTTCATTTAAACATTTGATGCAGTAGACAATCATAATTATTATACCTTCTGTTAAAATCTCATCATCTGATTGGTTGAGAAAGATGTGAACATTTTCAATGTTACTTGCTCGTTTTACAAAGATAAAGAAGACAGGGTGACATTCCAAAAAATATCACATGCGCCAAACGTATGCGTGCACGGTTTGTCCCAGTGCCAGGGTGTTATCAAATCACATTCATGGTTGGTTCATTCGACAACTGTTGAGATGAAGTCATGGTTTATGTCAAGTCAACACAAGGACCTTTAAAAATGGTGAAGTGGTGAAACACCTAAATATGACACTCGGTATAATAAAATAAAAATCACATATATGATATTTATATAATAGGTCACATCTTAAATTTGTTGTCAGTGATAAGAACAATTTTAAGTGTCAAAATATAAACAAAGGGCAAAAAAAATCTTTCAACAGACTTATTCGGAAAAAGTACAACATATACTAGATAACATGATTATTAAGTTCCAAAAGTTTCAAGAATATAAGTAAAAAAAATGTGGGAGAAGATTGCAGGGCAAGACATAAATGCCTAAAAAAGCTGTTGAGCCTTATTAATGCTCACTTGGAAAACCCAATTAGATGAGATGATAATTTAGTCCACTACATGTCAAGAAGACAAGTCAGTAATGCTTGGAGGATATCTCTAGACAAGATTTCAATGTCAAAATAAATAAAAGGCAAAACTCTTTCAAAAATAGTCAAATCTAAATTCTAATTTGGACAACTCTAATAGATGAAAATTCAATCTAATGAAGATCAACACCAAGTTAAAATAAATTGGCCAAAACGTGAAGGATTGACCTCAGGACAACATTGAGATGTCAAATGAAATTCCAAAAACATTTTTTCTTAATCTTTATACCAGTACCTGCATGGTAATATGATATTTATAATTTCTAGCAACAACTAGAATTTTCACCTCTTTCGTAGAACAAAACAGAAAGACTGAATGAAGCCTGTATCAGATTAGGAAACTAAAACCTATCACGATTTTTGGTAGGTTTTTGTACTTGCTTAGATATTTTAATTTGTGTAATCAGTTTTGCCCTCAGTTGGAGGGCTACTTCAGAGTATGAATTATATTAATCTTTAAATTAGTCCAAATAAAGCTATGCAATTGTCTCAGATAGAGCAAAATATCATTTAGTTTAGTTCATAAGATCAGAGTGCCTTGTGGTTTTGTTGTCACTACCCAAGTTTTCAACATACAGATGGGACATATAATACTTGGATTTGACATAAATTTTTCGAGGTTCACATTTTGCCCTAGTTTTATCAATGTTGAGTTTGAATTATAGTTTTGTTTACACTTTGGAACTCTTTGTGTTTTTTATGGGAATTGACACACAACAAAAAATTCACGTTCAGATTTCCTGGATAAACTCAAATACTAAAATATAAAATAGTAATACATCATCAACTGTTAGTTCACGGTATATCAGAATTAGACTATGTCGATCATCAGCTCAATTGGTACTGCCTGGTCTGTATAGAGATCAGAGGGTCTTGGGTTCAAACCTGTCTGGCAGTTCATTTCTCTGCTCCTACTACATGTTGTGCCTGTGACCAACCCTTGTTGAAGTACTGGGTGAATGCTTTGCAAGGGGATACAGGAACTTGGTAGTATATAGTGATGTCTAAATTGGGGCCAAGACTTGGATAAAGAAGGCATCAATGTAGCAGAACTGGCGTTCATTGGCGACCAGGTAGCTCAATTGTCTAGAGCATCCGTCTAGAGTTTGGAGGGTCCAGGATTTGAACCTAACAAGTTATTTAAATTCATTTTAAATACATTTTCAGTCAAGTTAATCAGACGTACATGATCATGTTATTCAGACATCTTGAAAAAAACTCTTTAAGATTACTGTAGAAAAATATCAATTCGGTTTAATATTGATGTTAGGTACATGCATGTCTGAAGTAAAAATTCTGGTATATTTTTCAACATTTGTACCAAAATATTCCTCACCTGCTAATGATGTCTGTAACCTGAACGTCGTTGGTAGCAACTATGCCTGTATCACTCTAGCTTGAAATTCAACATAACATACAACAGTTGAAATCATTGAATCAACCAGTCCTTGCCTGATCAAACCAGATTATTTGGTTTAAGGCGGATTCATCAAGCTAGAAAACGTGGTAAAATGTTTGCATTTTTGGTCCCATTCGTGTCACCAGCATGCTTAAATGTGATGGAATAATGAAGCGTGCCAATTACCCCGATAGCGTGACTTTCGATATTTTCGGATTTTATGTCAAGTATTCCGAAGAAGAAATGGGTATTCCCCTTGATTTCCTACTTTCATTTTCACAGAAGAGGAAGGAAAATGACTAACTTAAAAACAGGGAATTATTATTTATAAAGTAACAAAGTAAGTAGTCATCATTAGCAGACCACCACTTTAATACATATGGTTGTTATATTATGAAACATTGACTAAATGATAGAAGAGATAAAGAAAATCTGAGTTTTTTTAAGCGAAGAACGTTACGTAAGCAAAGTCGTAGAATCAAAGTCTATATATAGTAAATTCATCTGGTTGCCAATACACTCCGAAAAAAACATATCGAGTTTCTCTAATAATGATTATGTAGAGTTTTAAATTTACATTTAACTGTTACTTTATATAGGATATTCAGCTGACAGTATATTATAAAACAACCTGCATGTAACATCATAAACAATCACAATGTACTTGAAGTTCTTGTTTGTGTAGACAATAGCGTATTTGTTTCTGCGTCACATATTGTAACTGCGTACCAAATAAGTTATACATATGTTTTTTAATGGTGAAAAAGACGCTTCTTTCTTATCTTATTTTAAGACACTTTCATAGATATACAATTATCATCATTCTGACATCATTGTCTGTTAATTTGTCTCGGTTTGTGACTATGAAGCTCTTTTAGAAGCTAATTACATTGTATATATACACACATACTATATATTCAGTTTTTAATATGTAGCTCAGTACATTTGGCAAATTCTGGAATGTTCGATCGCTGCCAATCAGGAAGCTCAATCGGCTAATTGACAGTCTGTCGAGATTTAAAGGGGTCCAAGGTTTAAATTCCTGTTAATAGCTGTACATTTCCTCTCCTGTTAAACACATTCAAAGCAAAAATGTTTTCATAACAATGATGTCAATCTATTTTAAAATGTTCTGGTCAACACTCAGAATAATATATGGAACTCAAAAATACATTTTCATAAAAGGTACCTTCTATCAAACATTAAGACAAAAAATAAAATGAAAACATAGAATTCACTGAAAGAGCTCACATTACATACATGTAAAATAAATTTAGATCATAATGATTTCTCAAAGCTACATGTACATGTATTATACTCATATACACAAGACTTAGTTAACTACCATATGTATCCAGGCATGTACAAAGTAAATATCATTCCAGTCTTTATATACCTGTGCAGTATATAGTTTCCTTGGAATTAAAAAATGAAATAAAATTGAAGGTTAAAAGTTATTGCTGTTATTTAATTTGCAGAGACATTTTAATCTGCTGGTGAGGCTCTTTATCTTAATGTTATTATTGCTACACATGTATGTACAGTAGGAGTGGAGCAAAGATTATCTCCGCCCCATCAAAGATTTTAAAAATGAGATGGTCAGTTATTTCAGACTATTAGTCTATTAGTCTTTTGTTCGACGTCATACCATTAGTCTTCGACTACTATTGAAACTTAAGCTTAGGTAGCTCAACAGGTAGAGCATCTGTCTAGAGTTATGAGAGTCCAGTTTGGCAGTGCATCTTTCCACTCCTGTTACATTTGGTGCCTGTGACCAACCCCAGTTTCAAGTGTTGGTGAATGCTTGACAAGGGAATATTTGAACTTGGGTTGAAAATAGTTGTGTGTTTGGGGGCGATGACTTAGATAAGGAGGGAGGAATGTAGCAGAACCTGACTGGGTCGATTGTCGGTGACCAGGTACCTTGATGGGTAGAGCATCTGTCTAGAGTTAAGGGGGATCTGGGTTCTAATTTCAGTCTTGTTGTACATTTTTATGCTCCTGTTACATAAGTAAAATTGGTAAATCACAGTGAATGGATAGAACAATTGAACCAGAAAATGATAGGGGAAAACTTATAAGGATGGATCATTTAGTTTGAAAACGGTATACATGTGTTGTAGATTTTAATTGTACATATGATCACGGTTGCCTTCTAGCTTCACGCTAGAGAGAATTTCCTTTAAACTCAGTGGTAGAGTGTCCGACTAGGAAGTCTGGGATCACAGGCTCAATCCCCAGTGGAAGCACACAACTCTCCTGTTACACATGTTATCAATCTCTTGTTGTATACGACTAAATATGTTTCTTCAATATCAAGGTATCATGGATGATCACGGCAGAGGACGTTGGGTCAAAGTGAAAGCAACATGGAAAGAAGTTCATCGCCGAAGTATCGATCCGTCATTAAGGTTAGAGGATGTGAAACGGGACGTACAGACATGGTTTCCATTACTGGCAGACCAGGAGGTCAGTCTGGATTTAGTCTATCAAGGTAAGTCACATATACCTTCCTCATCTCAACCTAGCTATATAGTCATTTTCCTAGTAATATCCTGTATGTTCTCAATACAAATTCCTGTTAATTAATGTCCATTATTTCCTAATCACTTGTCACTTGTTTTTGCCCTGGCACGTGTTTCCCATGTATTTCATGTCTTAATTTTTTCTCTCTCTATAATTTCATTGAAAATTACACCCACTATACAGGTCACCTTTTATATTTAATACATATGTACACTCCAAAATCTATGATCAATCATCACTATTTCTGAAATGATCGATGATTGATTAATGATTGATCATGAAATAAAATGAAAGTGAATAGAGAAACATTAATCAAAATGGGTGAAACTTATTATTATAACTGCTTATTTATATTAGTTTTTACATTGGCTCCTGATTATAATTGTATGTTTATATATAGTCACGCCATGTTTGATCATAGACAATCATAATCAATTAATCATAGTTTGAGGTAAAGCAACTTCTCGATTAATTGGAACAATTAACACTAAATTGTACCTGTCTATAAGGGACAGTAATTTCTAGTTTCTATTGCTTCATTATATTTGAACCCCTCTATAATGAACCATAAAACTGTACAGGTGTACCACATTGTAATATGCTGATAATTAATCCCATTCACAGTGTTAAAATTATCAAAATGTCAGTAGAAGTACTGATGTTTAAAGCCCAACATTTTTGTTCCATTGTATTTGAAATATCAACACAGAAATGAAAATATAAATGGAACTAATTTCCAGAATCAAATACAGGTATTAAAGACACATTTGACAGAATTTTTTATAGTTGGTCAGGTGGTACAGTGTACTCCTTTGAATGTCACAATGTTATTAATCAGAGTAAATGTGATATTAACTAAAATGTGACATTAAGCAGAATGATATTAAGTGAAAGTAGCAAGATGATATTTCCTTTGCATGATAACATTTCAGAAGTTCCTTCATCCTTGAGTATCTGCTGTATAGTTGGTTGGTTGATGAGTTTATAGTCAACACTTGACTGACGAAGTCGGTGTTCTTTTAGTCGCCTTACATGTATCTGCTGTATAGTTGGTTGGTTGATGAGTTTATAGTCTACACTTGACTGACGAAGTCGGTGTTCCGTCAACTTACATGTATCTGCTGTATAGTTGGTTGGTTAATGAGTTTATAGTCTACACTTCACTGACGAAGTCGGTGTTCGGTCGACTTACATGTATCTGCTGTATAGTTGGTTGGTTGATGAGTTTATAGTCAACACTTGACTGACGAAGTCGGTGTTCCGTCAACTTACATGTATCTGCTATATAGTTGGTTGGTTGATGAGTTTATAGTCTACACTTGACTGACGAAGTCGGTGTTCTGTCAACTTACATGTATCTGCTATATAGTTGGTTGGTTGATGAGTTTATAGTCTACACTTCACTGACGAAGTCGGTGTTCGGTCGACTTATCTGCTGTATACCTTGAGCTGATATTTCTAATGAAAGATGCTCAACTCAAAAATATTGAGGTGGGCAGGCCTTTAAATAAAAAAAAAAATCCTGCTACAATACTACTTCATAATGGTCATTAAAGAGGATAATGAAATATGTGGATAAATTATTGTGATGAAATGTTCACCTTGTTTACATTCTTACAAAAGCGCATGGTATAGAAAATTAAACCCTCAGAAATACAGAAAGTCAAACCTGCATTAAAGAGACCATCCTCTGAAAGTCCAAAAATTGGTCTGTTAATGTTGGTGATCTCTTATACATGTTCAATCAGAATAAAATTACTACAGATGAGGAACGTTGATAGTTGTCTTTTTACACATGTAGTCTCTAAAAAGAGGTTGTCGCACAAGCAGATTGTACCTTATTCATATATAAATATCTATATCAAGAGCTAAAAAAATGATAATATATGTTGAAATATTTTTTGGTATTGTATTCTGTCCTCAGATGATGATGGAGACGAGGTAACTATAGCGACAGAAGAAGATTGGAGGGAGATATGTTCAAATCTGTCAGAGCTAAAACTCAGCATACGAGGTGAGGCTAAAAACACAGTACTGTCAGTGCACTTTGTGTATGTAACAGGGAGGGGGGGGGGGGGGGGGGGGGTGNATCGAACTGAGATTCCAACCCTGGACCTCCAAACTGTAGGATTTGGACCATAGTTAGACACCTCTAACCAACTGAGCTATTACAAAATTTAATGTGCCTTAATGCAGAGTGTATCATATGACATCAATGTAGCATATCATATGGTAAAAGTATTTCTAAATTCTTTTATCATTATAATCATCCATTTGTTCAAGTTCCTATCAATTATTATTTTTTCTTCATTATTAGTCACATATGTTTCAAGGGCCAGTGATAGAAATGTTTGTCTCCCTCTTTTATTAGCTACACACATTCGTAGACCGAAGGCATCATTTAGTGAATCTACAAAGAGTGGCTACAGCACTGCGTCCGTTCTACGGAATCTCTCCAACTCAGATAACAATCAATTGACTAATGGAACCCAGGTTAAGACTCGTGACTCTGGCAACATGGAGTCTGAAGTGCCACATCAAATATCTGGCATTGTCACGCAGGCAAGTGATGACATTTTCCAGCGGAATGGAAATCAAGAAGATGTGTCCTCCTCTGGCATGAGTCCCAGACCAGAACATGCACAGTCAAACTTTTCCTTCTCGAATGGACAAGTCCAATCAAGTGACGAAGACGAGGGTATTTACGTATACTTACTCTCAGATTTAAAGCTTCATGTATTATATATATCTATGCACCCCGATTTCTCATGACAGAATTAAAGTCCCTTGGATAGAGAATAATAAGAATTCACTATTTTGGACACTGTTACATAATCTTGCAAACCTGTGATTTCATAGAAATTAACTCATTCACCCCTGCAATTTCATAATGACCTATTCCAAGATTTGAGTTAATGCATGAAAGTGAATCACCCCGTAGCATAACTGTTAAACTGACCATCTTTGATTTTTCTAGAATCTAGATTTTCCTGTCGACCATAGAAATTTCATCACATATTTGTATCTAAGATTATCTTATTAGCCAGGCAAAGCTCGAAGCCACTCATAAAAATATACTTTCTTCCTGTTCTAGAAGTCTGACCCTATTTTCAACAAGTTAATAGCCTGATTGTTATGTGCGGAAATGCATTGTAGATTTTGATATAAAGCATCATAATAATCCATAGATAGGAAAATTAACGATTAAAATAAAATTATTGGCTAGCTGACCTACCCTATATGTTTTCAAGCATGTTACCTGAAATGCATATATTCCTATTTTAGGCCTAAGACAATAATGGACAATTTTTGTCAACACAATAGATTTCGCTTAATATTGGCCAAATCAAATCAAATCAAATATTGGTAATCAAAATGTCACTGAGTTTCAAGTCAAGCATATATATATATTTATATAATGGTATTGAATGAAGATATAACAATTTATTAGACATCCATGAGATATATTTAAGATTGCACTAACTTGTTAAAAAGAATCACATTAGTAAAACTTAGGCATTATAATGCTATGTAAAATTAGTGCAAAACAAGTTGTTGATATTTTTATGGTAGCTGTGATACTAGAAAATATTCCTGGATAAAGCAATCAAAATTGGTCATAATGAATTTTTTACCTGTATTTTCGAGAGAAAAAAAATCACAAAGCTGTATTTAATTTGTCATGTTCACTCCTGTAGTTTACTGGCCTCCCACGTCAGGTGACACGTTGGACCAGGTCAAGGTCAAGAGATGTCCAAACCCTGACAACGTGGACAGCAGGGCTCGGGTAAGACATCTTACTTTCCAAGTTTGAAACAGGCACAGATCCTGAGGATTTCAAATTAAAGTGGGATGGGGGAGTTGGGAGGGGTTAGGTCAAATTCTAGGAAAGTATCTATTAGTACCCTTTCACCTTGAGAATTTAAAAAATAATGTAAAACCCAATTTATTTTCAACAGTCTTTCATTGAAATATTTTCAGGACACTATGCAAACCTATCTAGCAGTGATTTGGGCATAGCATACTTGCCACTTCTCCCTGTTTAGGAGAGAGTCTCCTGATTTTGGACACTTAAATTTAGTATTTTCACCCTATACATTTTCTTAACTATTTTTTGATTTTGAGATCTAATGTTGCTATCTGAAAATCAACAGACAAAATGTAGTTTTAAAGGGTTATTTTGTCTCTAGGGAGTATATACACACACTTTATCTGTGTTTTAATTTAGGGCATGCAGACTCTCCCATTGAAATTTTAAAAGGTTGACAAGAATGGTATAGTAGTTTTTATTGCAATTCCAAAGCATTGCTCAAGTGGGAAACTACAGGAGAATTCTCTACCGTCTAGGCCTCTAAACATTTGTTTGAGTCACATACAGTCAATGCAAAAGCTGGCATAATTTTATTGCAAAATAGGCATAAAGTATTTAGGCTATATAAATTTAAATTAAAACACAAAAATGATGTCAGAATTTAACATTAACTTTGTAATCTTACATTATTCCAGCAGTTAAAAATTGTCACCTCATTTTAACCTTAAATTAGAACATTTAAAAAAAGGAATTGAAAATGTTTTATTGATGTTTATAGAATATTAAATGCCAAATAACTTTTTATTCTTAAATGTGACTTAAAGGATGTTAAAAAAACTCAAATTATCATTATTCAAAACTTGGAATGAAAATTTGGAAAATTTGCTGCGTAAAGATTACAAGAAAGTAATGACTATTTTGCTATTGAGGATGTTACTTACTGAAGAAAAAGCAATAACGAACAGTGTACAATTTTGTTACAGGATCCAGCTAATTCCTATCACAGTGATACCAAAGGCAGAGTAATCATATTTAACAACAAGAAGTTCACATCAGAACCAGATATCCAGGGAGATTTTGATACCACATGTTTGTCTTTGTTATTCAAGGACCTTAAATATGATGTCTGCTCCTACACAAATCAATCTGCACAGGTAAACTATGAACATAATCATATTAAACATAGTCCAATCTGTACAGGTGAAATTTCATTCAAGGTCATGTGATACATAAACCAATATATACAGATGAACATATGACGTCATGTTACAACTAGTCCAATATATACACATAAAATACGAAAATATGACATACAATAAATAAATAAATCTGTAGAAATAAACTATGAGCATACGATGTCATGTCATACACAGACAAATCTGTACAGGTAAAATTTCATACAACGTCAGGCCAGACATATACCAATATGTACAGGTAAAATATGCAAATATGATGTAATGTCATATAAAGTCAAGTCTGTCAAGGCAAAATTTCATACAATATGTGATGTCATACACAGACCAATCTGTACAGGTAAAATATAATATACAATGTCAAGTCATACACAGACCAATCTGTACAGGTACAATATAATATACAATGTCATGTCATACACAGACCAATCTGTACAGGTAAAATTTCATGAAATGTCATGTTATACACTGATGTACAGATAAAAAATGAACATGCGAGGTCATGTCATACACAGACCAAACTGCACAGATAAACTTGTTGACATACAATGTGACACCATACAAATACTTGTCTGAACAGGTAATTTAAAAAAAAAAACAGTAGTCTGTACAGATAAATACAAATATCTGTCTTCACAGGAAATTTGATTTTTTTACATCATTGTGGAATCCTACACACTTCAGTAGTGTGTGTCTGTGTATTTTCAGCACTGCGTGTCCGTGTATTTTTAGCACTGCGTGTCTTTGTATTTTCAGCACTGCATGTCTGTATTTTCTGCACTGCGTGTCTATGTATTTTCAGCACTGAATGTCTATGTATTTTCAGCACTGCTTGTCCGTGTATTTTCAGCACTGCGTGTCTGTATTTTCAGCACTGCGTGTCCGTGTATTATCAGCACTGCGTGTCTATGTATTTTCAGCACTGGGTGTCTGTGTACCTTCAGCACTGCTTGTCTGTGTATTTTCAGCACTGGATGTCTGTGTATTTTCAGCACTGTGTGCCCGTGTATTTTTAGCACTGCATGTCTGTGTATTCTCAGCACTGCGTGTCTGTGTATTTTCAGCACTGAATGTCTATGTATTTTCAGCACGGCGTGTCTGTGTATTTTCAGCGCTGCATGTCTATGTATTTTCAGCCCTGCGTGTCCGTGTATTTTCAGCTCTGCGTGTCTGTGTATTTTCAGCGCTGCATGTCTATGTATTTTCAGCCCTGCGTGTCCGTGTATTTTCAGCTCTGCGTGTCTGTGTATTTTCAGCGCTGCATGTCTGTGTATTTTCATCCCTGCGTGTCTATGTATTTTCAGCACTGCTTGTCTGTGTATTTTCAGCACTTCATGTCTGTGTATTTTCAGCACGGCATGTCTGTGTATTTTCATCTCTACATGTCTATGTATTTTCAGCACTGTGTGTCCGTGTATTTTCAGCACTGCATGGCTGTGTATTTTCAGCACTGAATGACTGTGTATTTTCAGCACTGCATGTATGTGTATTTTCAGCACTGCATGTATGTGTATTTTCAGCACTGCATGGCTGTGTATTTTCAGCACTGAATGACTGTGTATTTTCAGCACTGCACGTCTATGTATTTTCAGCACTGTGTGTCCGTGTATTTTCAGCACTGCATGACTATGTATTTTCAGCACTGCATGGCTGTGTATTTTCAGCACTGCATGACTATGTATTTTCAGCACTGCATGTCTACGTATTTTCAGCACTGCGTGTCTGTATTTTCAGCACTGCGTGTCTTTGTATTTTCAGCACTGCATGTCTGTACTTTCAGCACTGCGTGTCTATGTATTTTCAGCACTGAATGTCTGTGTTTTTTCAGCGCTGCATGTCTGTGTATTTTCAGCACTGAATGTCTATGTATTTTCAGCACGGCGTGTCTATGTATTTTCAGCACTGGGTGTCTGTGTACCTTCAGCACTGCTTGTCTGTGTATTTTCAGCACTGTATGTCTGTGTATTTTCAGCACGGCATGTCTGTGTATTTTCAGCACTGCATGGCTGTGTATTTTCAGCACTGCATGACTATGTATTTTCAGCACTGCATGTATGTGTATTTTCAGCACTGCATGGCTGTGTATTTTCAGCACTGAATGACTGTGTATTTTCAGCACTGCACGTCTATGTATTTTCAGCACTGAATGTCTATGTATTTTCAGCACTGCATGTCTGTGTATTTTCAGCACTGAATGTCTGTTTTTTTTCAGCGCTGCATGTCTATGTATTTTCAGCACTGTGTGTCTGTGTACCTTCAGCACTGTTTGTCTGTGTATTTTCAGCACTGCATGTCTGTGTATTTTCAGCACTTCGTGTCTGTATTTTCAGAACTGCATGTCTGTGTATTTTCAGAACTGTGTGTCTGTGTATTTTCAGCACTGCATGTCTGTGTATTGTCAGCACTGTGTGTCTGTGTATTTTCAGCACTGAATGTCTGTGTATTTTCAGCACTGCGTGTCTGTATTTTCAGCACTGCATGTCTGTGGATTTTTAGCACTGTGTGTCTGTGTATTTTCAGCACTGCATGTGTGTGTATTTTCAGCACTGCGTGTCTGTGTATTTTCAGCACTGCGTGTCTGTGTATTTTCAGCACTGAATGTCTGTGTATTTTCAGCACTGCGTGTCTGTATTTTTAGCACTGCGTGTCTGTGTATTTTTAGCACTGTGTGTCTGTGTATTTTCAGCACTGCATGTCTGTGTATTTTCGGCACTGCATGTCTGTGTATTTTCAGCACTGCATGTCTATGTATTTTCAGCACTGTGTGTCTGTGTTCCTTCAGCACTGTTTGTCTGTGTATTTTCAGCACTGCATGTCTGTGTATTTTCAGCACTTCGTGTCTGTATTTTCAGCACTGCATGTCTGTGTATTTTCAGCTCTGCATGTCTGTATTTTCAGCACTGCGTGTCTGTGTATTTTCAGCACTGTGTGTCTGTGTATTTTCAGCACTGAATGTCTGTGTATTTTCAGCACTGCATTTCTGTATTTTCAGCACTGCGTGTCTATGTATTTTCAGCACTGCGTGTCTGTGTATTTTCAGCACTGTGTGTCTGTGTACCTTCAGTACTGTTTGTCTGTGTATTTTCAGCACTGCATGTCTGTGTATTGTCAGCACTGTGTGTCTGTGTATTTTCAGCACTGAATGTCTGTGTATTTTCAGCACTGCATGTCTGTATTTTCAGCACTGCGTGTCTGTGTATTTTCAGCACTGTGTGTCTGTGTATTTTCAGCACTGCATGTCTGTGTATTTTCAGATAATACAGTACGACAAGAGTTAATAAATTACATCAATTTTGTTTTTTAGCAAATGCGTGAGAAGTTGGAGAAAGAAAAAGCGGTTCTGGCGAAAACAAAGTACAGTTGTTATATTGTCTTCATCCTGACTCACTGTGATCCGAAAACAAAAACCCTGTCTGGGAGCAAAGGGGACACAATTCCACTGGACGAAATCACAGGTCGTCTGAAAGAAGAGGATGCACTGAAGGGGGTTCCCAAGCTGGTGTTTATTGATGGTGTGAAGCATGGTAAGGGAGACAACCCCATATAATGTTTAATGATGTTGTGAGGCATGGTAAGGGAGACAACCCTATATGGTGTTTATTGATGGTGTTAGGCATGGTAAGGGAGACAGCCCCATATAGTCTTTATTGATGTTGTGAGGCAAGGTAAGGGAGACATCCCCATATTGTAAGAGGCATGGTATTGCCATTAAAAGGGGAGACAACTTCATGGTCTTTTGGTATTTAGATTGTGATAGAGATGGTAAGGGAGATAATCAGACATATCTTGATTGATAAACTAATTAAAAGACATACCTGGTACTGCAAGTTAAGCAATATACTGGATTGGGTCATTAAAAGTTGATCAGTTTCTGATTATGAGCTTTTTCAAGCTAAGATGATCTCAAATTTTAATCCTGGGCCTGATTTATGAAATCTGTCTCATGCTCAAACTCAGATTTTGTGCTCAAGTCCATTTTCTTTTTCTGCTAATAAATCATTAATCCATCACATTATCTTTATGTGATGTTAACAAATTTAGGAGAAACTGGAAGCAGCGTACTATTTTCAATGTCTACATTTGACTTTTGGCTTTGTCCCATGATTTATGCGAGTTGCAAGTATCATTAGCTGCTTGCATACGGACCCTGCAGGTAGGGCGTAAGAATTGTACCTGCTGCCCCCAATTGCATGATCGTAAGAGGCGACTACATTTGTGACCTTATCTCTTCTCTCCTTTCTAAATAACTTTCTTCTTCCTAATGTCTCCCTTGACAATGCTTTACTTTTGGCCATTTGTTGAGCGTTCGCCCCTGTGAGGAAGGCTTTGGGTTCTGTCCCATGGCCGAGACATACCAAAGTCTTTAAAAATGGTAGTTTCTACTCCTGCTTAACACTCAGCAAACTGGGATTGGGACGACTGGTTCGCCCTGGCACTATAATGTTGGCATCAGTTCCGCGCTATCACAAGGAGACAAACACGAACATATCGCAGCCTCCCAAAATACACACGCATACACACTACACACATGCATCTTACACACAGGGGAGGCCATCCTTAAATGACCTTAGCTGTTGATAGGACGTTAAACAAAATAAAACCAAACCAAACCAAAGCATACGAATCACACCCAAACAGTAAGAGATGAAATGTTGAGCCACTTGAAAAAATTCACTGAAGATTATCTAACTGTAACAGTGTGGTGTCTCCTATAGATGGCCATGATTTAACTCATTCGGCCCTGAAATTTCATAATGAACTATTCTAACTTTTGAATTGGAAGAGTTTAAGTGTGTCGTCAGGGATGAATGAGTTAAAGGTGAAGGTTAGATGCTCTAGCGCGAAGGTTTTCTGGACTGTCATCGAGTTTATTACAAAATGATTCGCCCTTGTGAAACATGATTAAAATTGAGGAAAAACTAAGAATACTGATTATATACTGCAAAGGCAACAAATGTTTTATTATGCCACAAAAATCAATTAAAAACAGTAAAACAATAGTAGAGATGATCAGGTTGACGCGCCATTGTTGTCATCTGCTTCCATTATTCGGAACTTCGTTGTGGTGGCTCTTTGCCAAATTTTCTAGAAGGGCTCCGAATAATGGAAAAAATGATCGGGGGGAAAATTGAGTGCCTGAGGGCCACGTGATGTTTTATTACCCAAACAAGTGACCAGTAACATCCAATCAGACATGCTGTTACAAAGTTATAATTTTGTTTCAGACTTCCAGGAAAGTGTGCCGAAGCTTGGTAATGTACCCTCTAGTAATGCATTAAAGATGCCTGTCACCACGGGGGTAGATAGACCTTGGACAGCACAAGGAGTAGACAGTACAGATTCTTGTCCATCAAACAACATGGATGACTTTTACATATACATGGCGGGAACACTGGGTAAGTACAACAACTATCTTTCAGGGATTCAAGACTGTCATCTGTAAAACATTTGAAGTTGGTTTCCAAATATTTTGTTTACTGCATTTATCCTGCAATAAGCCCAGGGGGCCAAAACACAATCTCTGACTGAAAGTAGGGGTGGGCTTATTACAGGACAATGAAAAAGCTTTTGTTGGCATTCTTCCTAACTGCAATAAATATTGGTGGGCTTATTACCAAGCATGGGCTTATTGCCGATAAATATGGTACATATTTATGAACCACAAATTAGTGATGGGAATCAATTCCATTTTCATATTCAGTCAACTCATTCACCCCTGAAGACACATTTGAACTCCTCCAATTCAAAGGTTGGAATAGTTCATAATGAAATTTCAGGGGTGAATGAGTTAATAGTTGTACATAGGCGATCGAGTATCAAATGAAATCTGTGTTATAGGCTTATTTTATAATAATTTAAGTTGGATGTCTCTCTTGTTGTCCATGCTCCTTAGGAATTCATTTATAAGCTATAAGCATATACCATTACAAATAATGGACTTTCGACATAAAAGAAACGTTGTGTCTCTAACCCCCAAGAGCGATTGTTGAAAAGAAAATTATTTTTTCAACTTATTAAAAGTTTTGGGAAGCTTTGATTCGTTTAGCTGTATTTTTCTATTTATTGAATACTGAACACAAAGGCTCATTAAATAGTTATAAAAGACTTTATAGTCTGGGAGTTGTAAATAACAGCTAAATAAATAAGTTCATATGAAGAATTATACTAGTTCCAAGCATTTTTGACATATGACACAAACAAACTCATAATCTATAGAATTTTACAAAAGCTAAATGGTTTAATCTAGCACCAATTTTTCAAGTTTTGACCACTAAAAATATATCTCTTTACCTGTACCTGTGTATTGGGTTCAGTTAAGGATCTATAAGGGTAGCGCAAACTGTGTAATATAATTATTGAGGCGGAAGAGGCAACCATATTTACAATCAAGTCCTTCAGTCAGGAAAAACATTCCTTCACACTCTGAGTAGTGTATATTTGGAAACAATCTTCTGGAGTCCCTGGGGACTGCTAAAACAATCAACAGATTAAAAGACTAGCTAGATAGACACTTGCTACTTTTAACTCATTCACCCCTGAAGACACATTTGAACTCCTCCAATTCAAAGGTTGGAAAATTTCATTATGAAATTTCAGGGGTATTAGAGTTAAGCTTCAATCGGAATTACAGCCTATATAGTTGAGTCTGATATGATAAAGAGGACCTTTAGGTCATGTATCAGAAAATCTATCAATTAGTACCAGGATATCCATAAGTATACAGGCCCTAGTGTATATAGGGAGTTTTAGTGGTGGATATCCATTGTGTTATTATTATTATGATGTACCATTGTACAGAGTTTGTCACTGAAAATCAGTATTAAAACAAAATGTTTTCTTAAAAATTTGCAGGTGAAGGAAATCCCACCTACAAGGGTTCCTTAATGCTCCAGGCATTGGTGAAAGTGTTCTGTACCTACATGTACAGGGACAGTCTCAGTGAAATGATGGTCAAGGTAATTCATTAAGTCATTCATTGCGCCATGTTCTAGGATTGTTTCTGTGAGGGTAAAGTTACTTTATATACAGATTTGTCTGTCCTCCATGTCCAAATACATCCTCTGTGAAATGAGGGCCAAGGTCATTATATAGTAATCTATTACAAATACCAACTGCAAAAATGTTGTCTCTGGGAACTTTAACCCTTTCACCACTGTAGACAATAATGGACTTTACCAGATCAATGCATAGTAGAGTCTACTAAAGTAACATAGGGAGATCAATGCATAGAAGAGTCTACTAAAGTAACATAGGGATGAAAGGGTTAAGATTTATAGAATCTATCACTCCGGTGTGATGTTGACAGAGAAATCTCACCTGAGAATAAGATTTATGAATTTTATCACAAGGATTTGCGAAGTACTAAACTTCAGAAATCTCATCCTGAGGGTCTATATTTCTCTGCATACTTTACCCAGGATGATTGAATTTTTTACTCCCACACCTTTCAATCGTCAACCGAACTTGTAACGGTGAACCCAGTGCTTCTCACGATCATGCATGGCGGGCACTTAAAATGTGTAACGAAATTGATAAAGTGATGATGCAATGATGACATTTTCAGATTATTAGCAAGTTTTAGCTGCCTTTCACCTAATTGGTAAAGAGAGATTTATCATTTCCTTATCAGAAACGGTAATTAATGCAAGGTCTGTGAAATGTGGAAGAAAAATAATGTCATCTAATATGTTATATTTCAAAGAGGAGAGACAGGAAATTATTGGGTAGTCTGGAGTTCTTTTAAAAAGGAAATTATCAGTGCATGTATCATGTACAAAATCTTAAACAACCAACCTTTTTGTAACTGTTACTTCCAAACTGGATCACAAACACATGCCAAAATTAAAATTTCATATACAGTAGCCATCATATCATTACAGTATATCAGGGCTGGTATTGGCATGTTTTTCAGAAAGATAATATCTATGTAACTTTTATTGCAGGTTGAGCGACTAATGGAAGACGCTCGAACCAAAACCATCAGATTTCGGATGCCCCAACAGACAACTGACACATTGAAAAAGGACCTATATTTCCATGTGAATGAATGAAGTGCATTGGAGCCTTTGGTTGGAGATTAAATACAGTTCATGATGTGGATAAATTTTCCTCGTACAAGGTTATATTTTTTACAGTGAGGGGAATACCATTTGTTTAGGATGAAATTTCCTCCCAAGTGTATATATCCCCCATCCTTGAGAATTTGGGGGAGTACTAGTATATCCACAATCCTTGGGAACTTCCAGGGGTGCTAGCAATTAAAATATTCCTGGCAAAGACATACCTATTTGAGATGCAACCAGTGAATTAAGTAACTCTTTATTAAGCTGTGTTTGGTTATTTAACCATTTTATTATTATTTTTTCACAATATGACCAGACTGTTATGCATGAATTATGACTTTCATGAATGAAACAGTCAACAATATTCAATTATATCAATTAATGGTCACATGTTTTTAGGGAAATTTCATTCTGTATAAATATACACATCAAACATGTTTTTGTTTTATTATTGATGTTTTAACTACTGGAATGAATTGATAAACTTCAAACTGATGGAGAATATTCTTGTGTATTATGTCATCATTTGTTGTGTTCTAATTTTAAGGCAACAAAATAATGAATAACCAAACTTGAATTCATCAGATGTGCCCGAGAATTAACAGTAAAAAATCATGTACACAGACATGATAATATTCATGCTGTTTGAACAATGCAAAAACAAAGGTTTGTTCGTATTTTGACACAGACACATATTGTATGCTAGTTTGTCAATCCTCCAGTGAATGCCATTTTCACGGCATGTATAACATGCAATTACAAAACACACCAAACAAACAAATGACATCTTTTATTTATAGCAGCAAGTTTTGATTGTCAAAATTTGGACTAATCAAAACACTTTGGTAGAACCCATAATAGTGCACAAATGAATAAATCTAAAATAATAAAACTGCCCCCCAGATAATTTGCACTACGAAGTAAGTGAATCAAGAAGACTATACCATATATTTTTGTTAATTAAGAAAACATGAATGTAAAATAGGTTGTATATCATTATCTGTTTTATTATATAAATATATAAATTTCCGTCTATATATACGGTTCTTTGTTATAAAAACCTTTTTCCTTCTTCGTTTTGTTAATGTGTCACCCATTTCAGTGTGTGTTTTTGTATGAAAGTGAAGGCCATGTGAGGAGGGTTTTTTTCTAAAAATTAATCTCACCCTAGTTTTACATTTATTTTTGCTTCAAAAGCATGTTTTTTTCACTTAGTAACTGAAAAACCATTGAACTGATTGTTATGACCTATTGGAACGAATTATTAATTGTCCACACCTGGATAAAATATTAATCTTGCTATATTTTATAAATCATAAAAACAATTTATTCTAACCTATTCTTGTACAGAATTGCATAATCTGAACTTACCTTAAATTTTGGGAATACATCATACATGTAACCTTTTAATGCGCATATTGATATCTTGTTTATTCATTAATACCATGTCCTATATTTTACAGATATTGTATATCGGGTATTTTTCTTTAATGTCTAACTTTCGCGAGACGTTGAAATCGAGAAAAATAGATTGTAAACTTTTTATCACTTTCCACAAGATGTTACATCCCTTGATGCAATCGGGCAAGAAAAAAGTTAACGACTACATATACTCGCATATCGGATTTATGGAAAAGACATATTACCTAAAACAACTGACCGGTTTCCTTTTTGCCAATGAATAAGACGGAGAAGGAAAAGCCCACTAAAGGTCATTTATATACGTGAGTTTAAAAGTCAAACGGAAAAAATATCATACCGTTATATGTACCTGATCCCATGGTGATTAAATATATATATAAAAGCAAAAAAAAATGGTAAATAATCAAAAATCGTATTTCAGTCAAAAAGTAGTTATTTAAGGATTGAATTATGTTTTGTTGAGGTTTATGGGGTATTTTGATGGACTACGAACTGAATAATAATTATATCGAGTTCAAGTTCAGTAGAGATGTAAGTATATGTCTATTGATCCTTTAAGCTCTCTCACCATGGAGGTTATTGCTGTATATTTTATGGGTTAAAAAAGCTCTGTTACAAAACAAAAAAAGAATATATACTTTCAACTAATCGTTGATATAATTTCATGAAATGTAGATATATTTTACATCTTAATATCAAAAACTCTAGTTAAATTAAAGAATGATTTAAAGACCGAACTTTTTACGTCTGCATTTTAAGCTCTTTTTCGCAGACGTCAACATATACTACCCTATATATCAAAATATGTCTTTTTACCTGATGTAAAATGCTAATTTGTCGTATGAACAGCATATTTTTTTGGATCAAAGAACTGCTTCACAAAGTTATTATGTGTATACGTTCAAAACAGTTGGACCAGAGTTGTTCATTTAAAGCAGCATTATCGGTATCTTTGTGCTCATTTTTGTTCTTGTATTCCAGGAAAGAAACTTATGACATACATAGGTCAAACAGTTTAACTAATGCTAGGGAAGTCAGGTACTCCATATATATATATATATGTTTAAAAAACCAAACAAAAGCAAAAGGTACCATACCCACCTATCTTCGTATTTAATATGTATATAAAATAGTTTTTGCTGATTTAGAAGCAATACTTCTTGAACATAGACTTGATGTTTAGTCATGAGACGCCAATCATGCTTTTAATGATTGAAATATTAGTGTGATGTGCAGGTTTAAAAAAAGTGCCATGTTTTAAGTCCAGTTAATTTCTGTTCTCTTAAATGAATTTAAACATTTACTTACTTTCATTTGCGTTATACTTACATCTGATAATGTAAGATATGTTGAACTTTAATTAAGCAATGAATATTTTAGCAAATGTTGTTATGGTCCTATAACACACATTGCTATTGATGACAAAACCTAATAAAGCCCGGCTAGGTTTTATGTAAGTTTAAAGTTTGTCAGCAATAGAAATGTGTGCTATAGGACCATACCAATATTTGCTAAAATATTCATTATTTATGTTTACAGTTTGATAAAGTGACTACGCTTTATTTAGTTATTTCGAATAGTTATTTGAACAGCAAATTAAGTCTTTGACGACAGTGAAAGTGATGACGTCACAACAGAGATTGATGACGTTACAATAGCAAATGTTGCTATAGTCTCGTAACAACATTTGCCTTCTCAATGCTTTGCAATGGAAGCATGCAGAGCAAATGTAAATATTTAATCTTACATCTGTTGAATCTGTCATCAGCATATTATCTTAACTAAACCGACATAATGTCATATAAAAGAAAAAGGGTCCCTCTTACACAAGATAATTTTAACCTGTCCCTTTTCTTGTTTCCATGGTTGCAGTAAACACTTCATGTCGATCTCCCGTTGTATTGATAACAACATCTATGGATACATATAAATATAACAAACAGGCCCCATATTCATGAAACCGTTCTCATACTCAAGCATTGGTTTTGTATTCGAATCGAATTTCTTGTTTCAGTTACGAACTAATAAAAACAATCTTATTTTTTCAATGATTTCACAGATAAACTTGTTGACACACAATGTTGCACCATACAAATACTTGTCTGAACAGGTAATATAAAAATTCTAAGAAATCTGTACAGGTAAATACAAATATCTGTCTTCACAGGTAAATTGACAATTTCTTACATACGTTGTGTAGTCCTACACACCTCAGCATTGCTTGTCGGTGTAATTTCGAACAATAGAGCATGACAAGAGTTAATAAAGTACATCAATTTTCTTTTTTTAGCAAATGTTTGAGATGTTGGAGACAGAAATGATTTGGAAAAGATTTAAAGATACTTTAAGTCCAATACTGTTTTCAGTGTTTACTTTTGACTTTTTATTGTTTTACATTTTTTAGGTGAGTTACAAGAAATCGGGTTTGAGCACAGAATCCATGCTTAAGCATGAGAACAGTTTCATGAATACGTATACGAGCCAAGGTGTTTCGTGTACCGTATACGGGCCAAGGTGTTTCGTGTACCGTATACGGGCCAATGTGTTTCGTGTACCGTATACGGGCCAAGGTGTTTCGTGTACCGTGTACGGGCCAAGGTGTTTCGTGTACCGTATACGGGCCAAGGTGTTTCGTGTACAACTGCTTTTTGTATCATCAAAGACCATCACACATCACCTGGGTCTTTGATTCATAATTTGTACTGTTGGGTGGACAATAATAAAAGAATTTGAAATGATGATAAGAAATGTGTTGTTGTTTTTTGGCCAATCTTTACTTGAAGGGTTAAGTGAGTATATGCCACGGGGCCGTCTTGTTTCGAAGTTTCATCTCTAGAACACCTGAACGAATATGACTTAAGTTAGTTTAGAACATACAGGTCTAGACCGTTGGAAAACGAAGAGCAAATGTATTGGATAGAAGGATACTGGAGAAGAAAATGAACGATTGCAGTAACACATGTTTACCACGAAGTAATAGGAATTTATTATCCTTGTTACTAATCCGTGCACAATTAAAAAAGACAAGAAAGTATTACATTTTATTATTAAATTCATGAATATGATTGTTAATATTATATTAATAGCAATTCGTGCCGCTAAAATTAACAAACCATCTCGAAATTATAATAAAAGTATTCCTATATCCAAAAGTTGACGTTTTGTGTCAACGAATCTAGGACCGTCTCTTATTGTCAATGTGTTAACTTTGCATGCTTTCTCATTAAGATATCTTGTCACTTTGAAATCAAATTTGGTTATATTACACTTCAAACGGGGTTCACATTTTTAGGTTTACAGACAGGGAAATAGTTTGTCAGTTAGAAGACAATTTTTACAACTCCACCATGTATGAATGAAAAAATAAAACATAATTTAAAAACTTACATTGGTGACCGGATACGTGTATCTTGTATAACACCATATACTCACCAGGTCCGTCATTTTATTTCCCGAGACGTCAATCATATGTGATTAGAGTTTCCCATCAGTAAATAGCTTTCATCTCTCTTCCTGTATTAACAAAAAACAAGATTTGCATTCTCTGCGGATGGTACCTAATCTTTAACCTTTAGATATGATACAAGATTTTTTATTTAACGTCGCATATTCAAAACAATAAACGTTAGCACTGTAGTGCTATTCTTGCGACAAACATGGATACAAATAAGAAACAACAAGGATAAATAACATGCCGGTAATTTCAAAGCAAGGTTAGAAATGACAAGCAAATATCAAAGAGGCAATTTAACAGAACAAATAACCAATTAAGGTACAAAAGCAGAGCAGCACCTAAGTAGTCACAGACAGGTGACATTTGAACTTAAATTTATAAACTGGATGTAAATAATGCATACTAGTATTGTGAAAGCACAGTAACAGTGTAATATACATACATGCTAATATAGCAAAGTGTAAAATTTGACAATATACACACTTATATAGTTCAATTTAAAATATTGACAATGCTATTAGTTTAAGTCGGTCCTCATCTTCTTTCCAATAACACACGATATATTCCGAATCATTCCTGTTTATTACGAGGGCCATTCGATACATTCTGTCACTACACAGCTCCTGTAAAACGGGCAATAATATAGTTTAGCGCATTGTGAGACTGCAAAAGAATGTAAAGAACAATTGGACATTATCCGACAAGAATATTGAACAGGTAATTCATTGTTTAATGTATGCACTCGTGACCAGTTACTACTTTTCAACGCTAAAATGAAGGCTGAGATTAAATCTGAAATACGCTCCTATATTGAAGCACGGTGTTCTTTACAGACAACGGCAAAACAGATACATACATAGTTGTTCAGCATAAAAAGCGCCTCTACAGTCTTAAGGTGGGTGAACATAATCAAGATGTTAAAGTTGATACCAAAGAGGAAACACGGCAAGGCAGCCAGTTGTTGCAGCATAAACGTTGCGAAAATTTGAACAACAGGCCAAACGTTTGAAGTGTTCCAAAGATCTATTAAGAAGGAATTGTAATTGCGACTCAAGAAAGCTACCCGAGTTTCTTACAGGGGATGAAAACTGGGTCTATTTCTTTGAACCCCAGAGGCGCATTAATAACAGGCAATGGTTGTCGAGAAATCAAGAAAGGCAAGTGATTGCAAGACGTATAAAAAGCGACAAGAAAGTTCTGTTTGCTATTTTTTCCAATTCCAATGGGTATTCCAATGTTCAGATACCGTGCAAGAACGGGACACACTCACTGCAAAGTGTACTGAAGCCTATCAAAATACTCTACACGAAAAGGCGTCCAAGTAAAGGGTTGAATGGCACCCAGCTTATTCAAGACAATGCGTCATCCAACAAAAGCAATGTTGTAAAAATGGTACAGTAGTACAGATTGACCACCTACCCTATGCACCAGATCTAAATCCTTGTGACTTCTTTCTGTTTCCTTTTCCAAAGAAAACGGTATGCCTCTAGGAGCGCTCTTGGTAGTGCAATATTCCAGTGTCTTGCCAGGTTAGGCGGCTACTGTGCAGCTTTTACGTCAAGGATAAGGCGATTGAGAAACTGCATTTTTGCAGAGGAGGAATACTCCGAAGGATGCATATAATAGAAAGGTCAAACAATAAACATCATGCATGTGATTCCTGACACTAATGTGACAAAATGAATTGATGTTCATACCACGATCGAGTTTTAAACCTGCATTATTATCCAAAAATCAGAACCCACGCGAGTCTTTGTTTAACACTGTGCTATCGTTATAAACTACGTTATTTTAACTTTTGTTAATGCTGACATTGTTTAGAAAGTCTTTCACGAGTCTGTGTTATATTCACTGAAGCGTTAAGAAGAATTGTGTCTTAACACTGACACTTGTATTCAGACATGTACGTTGATAAAGTTAAGTTCCACCGTACAAGCCTAATTGTGTTTTGAGATAATGAATCTCGCTTGGAGTTTTATGGAGGCCTTCCTAGCGCACAAATGAACCGTCTCGCTTACAAATTCTGAACAAAGAACATATTAACTCATGTCAAAGATTTACTCATACACAAATTAAAAAATGTACATATTACACGTGTCGCAACCTTTCAAGACCGACTGGTCCCTTTGTCAAGCTATGACTGAGTGGGCGATTTGTATTGTACAACGATGTAACGAAATTGTATATTTTATAATTATTATTATGTCTGTCGTTTTTTCACACGTTTATAGCTACATTGTTAGTGTATAAGGTAAAACTTTGATATTACACATTTCCAAACTGGTGAATCTCATTGAAAACATTTAAACTCCTTTGCTAAAGGGCATAACAGATATAGTTCAAACCGATATATTTGCATATCTTTATAAAATTGCAAAGATACCGTTGGATTGAACGTATACAAATGGAGAAATGTCTCAAATATGCCGTAAATGAGGAAAACCATATTCTATTAGTAATTATACATCTTTATAAATGTATTTCAGCGACTTCCATCTGTCATTGTCCATGAGGGGATACCGTTGACATATTCATGCAGTATTTGAATATATATATCACTGAAAGGCCGATAAATGTATTGCACTAGACAACAAGAAAACCAGCTTCCTCATTGCCCATTTATCTATTCAACGTGATTGCATATATTTATGCTTTATATTTTCTGTGAGTTGTGTGATAAATATGTAATTATTTTGAACGTTTACATTGTATACATGATATTCAATGAAGCTATACTAGCCATATATAACCTATTTGGTGAATTTCGTGTGTTAGTTATACACATGATAATCGATTCGCTTGATGTATATTGATAATGATTAATATTTCTAAAAGTATTTAATAATATAAATCTTGAGTAAGGCGAATAGTTCAAAATAAGCCGTCAATAGTGGACAAAATCGCCTTTTTTCCCAATTTGAGCTAGGAGACCTATATACGTATGCTACTATATGGCGATGGGCGGTACCGTACTCTTCTTTACCAACAGATATGATTTGTTTCTATATTTACTTTTTAAGCCATTCATGAGAGTAAGGTATTGTTGGCGCGTGGTTGTGATTTGAACAGTTTGTTTGACAACAA